TACCATTCTCCAATAGATAATGATGTTATTCCTATTTAGTAGTAATACCAACATGACCAATGTAACCTGGGTTTTATGAAGTATTTTCTGCCCTAAAAAGTTAAAGTTATAGTCAGTGACTATAGTTTAGTTATTGATGTGGACGTAAATGCCTTCACAGAGTGCAAGAGGGGGATTTTATAGTTACCAAGAATATCCAGGAATAGCAAAATCTGTGTATTTCAAGCCAATAAGTAGTTGAACTTTTCTTATGCTAAATTGCAAAGACTGCCAACATCAAATCCAATAGTGATCATCATCTGGTGTGGATGTCTTCCTTTTAAAAAATTGAGATTTAATTAACATATAAAATTTGTCTTTTTAAACTCACTGGTTTTTAGTATATTCACAAGAGTGTGCACCTGTCACCACTGTTGGACATCCCCCCCATTTATTAGTAGTTACCTCCCGCTTTCCCCAGCCTCTAGGAACCACTAATCTATATTTTGTCTCTATTGAGTTACCTATGCTAGATATACACATAAATGAGACCATATCATATGTAGTCTTTTATGTCCGGCTTCTTTCATTTACTATGTTTTTGAGGTTCATTCATCTCATAGAAAGTATTAGTACTTTATCACTTTTTATGATTCTGATGTGGACTAGTGTCCACTGGTGTCCCTGCTTCTAATGGGGTCCGCAGAGCCTGCTCATCACTAAAGCCAGAATTATCTTTCGAACATAAATCACATCATCTTGCTCTTGCTCTTGTTATTCAAATCCTTCCAAAACCTTCCGATTTTACTTTGAGAAAAAGCTGAACTTCTTGCCATGGCCTTCAAGGATCATCATCTTCTCTACATATTTTTCTAATCTCATCTCCCCAATCAACACTCACTCACTCTATGCCAGTTATACTGACTTCCTTCTGCCCTTGACACTTTCAAGCTTGTTTATGCTTCAGGGCCTTTGCACTTGATGGTTCCTTTGCCTGGCACTCTTTTTTTCACAGGTCTTCCCATGACTGCTTTCATTTGATCATTCAGGCCTTCTATAAGGTGTCCTTAGAGACTCAAGCCTAGATAATCCTGTCTCAAGTATCTTTCCCCCAGGCCCCAGTCACCTCCTATTATTTTTATTATCTTGTTTTAATTTTTTTGTAGCATCACAACTATCTGAAATAGTTTTGTTTACTTTGCTATCATCTGCTTCTCCTTGAAAATCTGTCAAGTAAGTGAGGACAGAGATTTTAACAATGTTACTGCTGAATCCTAAACTTCTAGAATGGCACCTAGATTCAATTAATATTTAAAGGAGTGCGTGACTCTACTGCTCTGAACTTCCAAGTCTTGAGGATATCAGTTCTGGAAGATCTGAAGCCCCTACTCTCAGTTCCTAAAGCTGAATCTCTTTACCTATTAATAGACTTTGCTATTGTCATGTACTGCCTGGCAGGATTTCTATCTATTGTTTGATGCACCCATTCTCCTGGCATTCAACTAGTTTCTCTTTCTTCTGCTCTCCACAATGGCTTTCCTGTAACAAGCTAGCAGATCTCGCCAATCTACAAATTCATCATCTAATTGAGCTCTCATTCTAATAGGGTGTAATCAGAAAGTAAATTGCAATTTCTAATTTGTGGTGGAGAATGCAAGAGGGCTTCCTTGCCTCTCCCTGGCCTGGTTTCATGGCCTGGGATTTCCACTTTATTTCTGTTTCTTTTCTCAATAAACTTTTTCTTTCTCTAAAAAAAAAAAAAAAAAAAAGAATGCAAGAGATAAGTGAGAGCAATCAGAAGTGGGATGCGTTAGACACTATTTAATGGTAGTTAATGATGTACAATCTCAATTTAAATGAATGTGGACTTCTAGGTATGGATTGGAATGTCTATAACTAAATTCTTAGTCCTGCAATAATGCACAGATCTGGAAAATAGATTTTTTGAGCTATTTGGACAAAAGGAAACCTTCATAATTAAACCATAAGCCTTTCATTTAGTCATTTGTGAAATTTCCAAACTATGCTACCAGGTAGATAAAATCCTTTTTGACCATGTCTCCCCCATCCACCACCAACTATCAAGTCTCAAAATAGGTATCACCATTAGACTGCAAATCTTTTCTTAAGATCATCTTCAAAAACAACAACTCACATATAGAGAGTAAAGGAAAAGCCATGAATAGGGAGGAAGTATTTGCTACACATTTAAGTAACAAAAGTTCTTTTACTAAAGAGAGAGAAGACTGATAATGCAGACTGTGTGATCAGGGAAACCCTTCAGGCTCTTTACAGTTGTTTAGCTAAGGGTTAGATGTAAATTCTGGCTAAGGCTGTTAAACCTTAAAGCAACATAGGACCATGCAGAGGCATGATCTGGTCACGAAGCTCCAGTACACCTGTGTAACCAAGAGCCCACAAATTCAACCCTGCTCCCACCCAAACACCAATACTACTATAAACATATGACAAATCATCCTACAAACATATACGACCAATAGTTCTCACTAGAAAGGGGAGATAGTGCTTTGAGAGTGATCTCCATGTCTCCTTGATTCAAATAATAAAACTTTACCATGAATCTCCAACTTTATCTGGTCAATTGGCTGATGCATGTCTATTGATGAATCCTGTGAGTTCAGTAACAATTCCAGAATACATAAGGCATTCTGTAACGGAGAAGGAAAAAAAATAACAACTCAATCAGAAAAAATAGTCAAAAGAGATAAGTAGGCATTGTACTGAAGAGAAAACAATAATAGTCAATACATTTGTAAAAAGATATTCAACTTCATTAGTACTAGCAATTGCAAATTAAATCCATGATGAGCTATCACACTCAATATAATGGCAAGGATTTTTACAAGGATGTACAGCAGTAGAAACTTCATCCACTACTGGTAGAGTGCAAATTGGTACAACACATTGGAAAAACAATTTAGCATTTGACTACCTTTTCCCTTATGGCCAAATAACATTTGGGTACAAGAACAGAACCAGAGCAGCTTGGTTCATGCAGAAAAAACTTGTCATGCGTGAGTCGTTTCTTTTGCTGACATGCTGGTGGTAAACCCCACTATTTTCAGGCTTCTCTGTTCTCAATGGCATCTCACCTCACATAGGCTGCTGAGACTAGAGACCTTTCAGTGCACTTCCAGGAGAAATAAGGAAGGCAGTGAGGGTACAGAGCCACGTTCACCTGCCTACATTTTTATTTTATTTTATTTTTTAAAGATTAATTTTATTTATTTATGCATATAAGAGGTGGGGTGTAGGCCAGAGGTGCAGGGGTAGGGGTGAGAGGATTCACCAGAATCAGCGTAGGCAGATCTACTGAAATACTGTACCATGCGGGTTAGCTCCCTGGCAGGGGATTAAAGTCATGCCGCAGTGGCTGGGGATAGCTTCATAGTGCGGAGACTTAACCTCTTGTGCCATCAGAGAGGCCCTTACATTTTTATTTTATACCTATCTCCGCACTGCTTCCCTCTCCCCACTATTTTGTGAACAAAGTACAACCAATCTTGAATCAATTTTATTCTCATTCGCCCTTGAACCTGAACCGGATTCTATAATCTGGCCTTGCTCACATGTTTAGTATACATAAAGAATTTAGAAATGGTATCTATTATCTTTTCAATTTATCAGTCAGAAGTATACTCCTGCCTCTCTCTGTATTTCTGAGGATGGGGTCCTTCACCAAATTGTAGTTTCCTTTAAGAAAGGTCCAACTCTGGCTAAACATATTCCATAAGAGCATGTATTGCTGCTAGTTGGTTGGACAGTGCATGTGTGATATATTAAAAGCCCTAAAAGCCCTAATTTAGGGGAGAAGCATATTCAATGAGTAGAGTGGTGAGTGGCTCCCTCGCCACTTGGGCAGATTGTTTAATCTCTCTAAGCATCAACAAATGAGAATCATAATACTTTTATATCCCAGAGATGCTCTGAATATTAAATGAACCAGTGTGGGAAGTTAAGGAGTGTTAATGTACTTCCTTCCTCGCCTTTCCTCAGCTTTCTTTTCAAAAGGATGTCAAATAAGATCAGTTTTCCCTCTTTTTATAGAAATTAAAAACTTATCTGCTCGTGTCCTAGAAAAGGATGCTTCCTGGGTGTGACCACTTAGCAAGGAAAGTATCCAGAGGGATAATGCAAGTCAGGCCTCCCCAGAAATCAGAAAGCAACAGCCACAGAGTATCAGCAGCAGAAATGCATAGAAAAGGGAATTACCTTAGGCTTAGAAATCCATAGGACAGTAGAGACCTTCTAGACTTCTAAGAAATGTATGAGTGGGCAAGCCCTACACTCCTCTAGATCCTTCATGAACAGACCAAGTGCATGTCCCTAAATGGTCTCAGATCTTGCAGGAATTGGGGGAACTTCAACGCCATTTGCTGCAACAGTATTGCTCTGATATGCACCGGGCACTGTGCTTGGAAGCTGGGGATATGAGTTAACAGAACAGAGGTGCTTCAACACACCTGGTATTAGAGCCCACCTTGGGGAGGGTGAAGTCTGAGAGTCCCAAGAAGGTGTCCGAAACCAGAGATCGTTTTTACTACTAAGTTTTAAAATCCAAATCCCAGCTTCCTTGGACGGCAGAGTTTGCCATCCGCACTCGGGACTCCCACTCACATCCTGCAAAGGGATTTAATAAGTGCAGTTTAAATTCCATTCTCTACGCCAGGGCCCCTAGGGAGGGGAGAGGGAACTGCGTGGCACCCTGACTCAGAAACTCCGGCCCAGGGGGTGCGGGTCCCGCCGCCTGGCGGGAGGGAGGGTGGGTGTGGGTCCCGGGTGACGCGAGGGAGGTCGGAGGCGGTCAGCGACGAGGTGACGCGCGCGGGGACCGCGCTGCCTCAGCCCACGTGTCCGAGAGGTTTAAAAGTTGGCCGGCGCGTGGGGCTGTCAGTCTGGCGGCGGGGCGCGGGGAGCCGCGTGCCAGGGACGCGGTGCCACTGCCTGGGGACTGTGCGCGTGCAGCGCGGCGGGCGCAGCGCAGGCTCTCCAGTCCCGAGCTGCCCGCAGGCACCCAGATGCCGAGAGCCGCGAGCAGGCGCCCCGGGCCGCCCCCTGGAGAGATGACCGCCGCGTCCCAGATAGTGCTGCTGCTGCTGCTCGCCTGCAGCGCGGGCGCCTGTCAAGGTAAACCCGCTCTGCGCCTCCCTGAACGCCCCTCCCGAGGTTTCTCGCGCCTTCCCCCGGAACCTCCCAGGCCTCTTGCGCCTCCTCCTGCCCCTCTCACCGCGCTCTCCTGCCTCCCTTTCTCGCCCCTTGTATTGGCTTCTGGGACTTTCCTTCACCTGGAGCCAGGGGATCCCCAAGTTCTGGCCCTTAACGACAGGGCGCAGATCACCACCCCGAGGCAACTAGCAGTGCAGGTGCCAGTGCAGGTGCCAGCGGCAGGGTTGGAACGCTTTCCATGTGTTCAGCCGAAATCTCCAGGTCGGGTGCATGGGCTGCCTGGCAGCTTGCAGGGCTTCATCAGACCCAGGGCTTCCCACCCTTGTGCCCACGGGTGACGGGAATTAAATCAGTGAAAAGTAAAATGCTTTTCCTTAGATTGCTATTACTGGAGGCAGTGATGGTTGAACCAAAACTAGTGAGTTTGGTGCTTTACCTGCTGATGTAAACTTGAAGAGTGTTTGTTCAGCTTCTTTGGTTAAGTGTGTTCCAGCCCTGTTCAGATAACCCCGAGCAGTGGAACACTCATTGTAGCGGCTTTGAAGGGATCAAGAACAGGTAAAGGGATCAACTGTATGGTAATGATGAAAAGTAGATCTTTTGTGGCCATCATGATGTAGAGAATGCAGATGTTGAATCATCAGGATGTACTTCTGAAAAGAATATATTATTAACCAATATTAACCTTAATACAATTTTATTAATGATTAAAAAATAAAAGAACAGGCTCATGACTTAGAGATTTTAAGTCACCAAATCAGTGAAAGAGATAGACTTTCTTATCACGTGGAGTTGGAGAGGCAAGTGTGCAGACCAGCTTTCCTTCAGCGCTGCAAATGAAGCCAGTGAGGGAAGAAAGGTCTTAATAACAACAGTGACTTCCTGAGCTTGGCATAGAAGAAAGAAGTGAGAAAAGCAAAAGCAATGTCTGGGAGGAAAGTCTGAAGCTTGAGACTCAAGGCAAGTCACAGGACAATATGTTAACAGTTAAAAGGTTACTTTCCCTTCTCCCCTGATTTCTAAAGGTTAACCTCCAGGCACTGTAAGGTGACTATCATTCATTCATGCCCCAACTCTGAGCCAGCGGCCACTACCTGGCTAGTCACTGTCCTGCTAAGACCATGAATTTTCTAATTTTGCAGCATTTTCTCTTAGTTTCCATCTGCTCTCATCAGTGAAGTAAAGAATGTTTTGTCATGGTTCAGAACTTGAAACCACATCTGCAGCAACCTTTGAGAGCCTGTAGCCCTGGCAGTTATGAGAGGAGGGGAAACTGAAACTATTCTTCTTTTCCTACTATGTTAACTTTAATTACTATCCTTACACTGCTTTTGATTTTCTCCTTTTCTTGAGGCTTCTCTCTCTCTCTCTCTTCTCTCTCTCTCTCTCTCTCTCTCTCTGTGTGTGTGTTTGTGTATGCCTCTGCTTAAAAAGAAAAATACTTTGGCTATAAAATATAAGCATTCAGAGGTAGCTTGAACCTTCTCTAGCACATAGCTAGCAGTGATACAGCATAACTTGTGCAAAGTAATGTTAATCTTTTTCAATTTTACATTTGTTATTGGTAAAATTACAATGACGATTTTTATCTACGTTATTAAGGAAGTAGATAACCATTGTTTTAAAAGGTAGCTTTCTCTCTGTAAAGCAAATGTACTGCCTGTGAAAGTTATATCTTACCGGCTTGCAGTGATTTTTACATCAACAGGAAATAACTGCTTTTGGGGGAGGTGGGAGAATTTTCAGGGTATTGGTGATGGGTCAAACATGGAAGGCAGTGGGTATTTTCTGTCAAAGAGACAGTCTTGAATTTTATTTCCAAAAGAGTGTATCTGCTGGCTGGCCCATCATCTCATAAGCACCCCCAATATTTCCTAAGCGAAGGAATGAGACGCCTTTTTCACTACACAGAGACCCCATTAGATTACTCTTTTGTGTCTTCCTTCCCCTTTAGACCTCCTTTTGATGCTAAAAACTAATTTTATCCTTCTAAAAATGCGGTAGGAGGTGAATATGCTTTGTGATCTGCTTTTGTCCTGAATCCAGAAAGATTGCACTGGAAAGGAAGCGTGACATGCATAAGCAAAACTAGGGGATAATCTATCAAGATTAATCATTATGCAAGCTGCAACTGTATGCATCTAAAAACAACAAAACAAATGTCACAAAGCCAGAGGAAAATAAATTAGTGTCAATAAGTGCAGCATCATTGGCAAAAACTAGTTAGCAGAGCATGCAATAGCAATGAGAAGACAAAGGGCCAGCCACAGATTTGGTGGATGGAAACTGTACTATTATTGCAGTTTTTTGTAACATTATTAAAATAAAGAAGGAGATTTCCTAAAAAAAAAGGGGCACATTGTGGATGTGTGCAACAATGTGATTAGATTTGGCCTGTGACAGTAAGTGTTCAAGCCTAAATTAAGAAGTGTCTTTTCCTATTTAAGTTTACAGCCCAGTGATTTTCGAGCAGCCTTAAAGAGTTGTGCAGCTATCACAATAATGCAATTTTCCATCACCCTCAAAAGATGTCATGTCATGTCCTTTTATAGTCAATCCCAGTTCCTATCCTGAGCCTTAGGCAACAGCTAAACTTTCTATTTCTATAGATTTGCTTTTAACGGACACTCCATCTAAACAGAATTATCCCATATTTGGTCTTTTGCATCTGACTTATTTGACTTAGCATAATATGTCTGAGGTTCATCAATGTTGTAGCATGCATCATTAATTCATTCCTTTTTTATGACCAAATCGCATTCCACTCTGTGGATATACTATATCTTTTTACCAGATGGGGACATTTGGATTGTTTCTGCTTTGGGATTATTATAAATAATGCTTCTATGCACATTTATGCACATGTTTTTGTATTTACATGTAAATAACTTATTCTTGAGAGTAATGTATTTGTAATGCTATAAAGGTTCACTTAATAATAATTATTTTTCTTTATATTGTCAAACACCTAGTTAAAATAGGGGACAGCAAGGTACCATACAAAATGAGAAATATAACCTGAAAATAAATCATATATAAATATTTAAATTAAGAAGAAATATTGTAAAATTAACATGTGAGTAAAACTTTATTTTTAGGTGCACCAATATTATCTCAAGGATTACGGCCTGAACAAGAGCTACAGTTATGGAATGAGGTAAACAATTATCCTCACATAATTTAGTGGAAACTTTACCCTTCTTTGAATTTATCATAGTAAACTCAAATAATGTGATTGATTTTTGGGACAACTACAATTTTACTAATAATCTGATATCATGATATTTAGAATTATTATGCTTAGTAAATGAAAGAATAGAATAGGAAAAAATTTTAAGAGAAATTCTCAGACTGGAATTAAAAAATGAACCAGCAATATATTGTCTATAAGAATTATACTTAGAGGACATCCCTGGTGGTGCAGCGGTTGAGCGCTGGGCTGCGAAGCTGTCCTCAGCCTCTGCAGCACCGGTTCGATCCCCAACCGCTGGGGAGAGTCCCACATGGCGTGCAGACCTCTCTTGCCGCACCTGCTGCTCCCTTAGCAGTGTACTTCAGTCTTTCTGCCTGTTCTGTTCCCCGCTCTGGCTCTGGTGAATTTTCTCACCTTCCCACGCTTCTGACTGTACCCAGTGCTTGTATAAATAAATAAATAAAATAAAATAAAATAAAAAGATTTGGGGAAAAAAAAAGAATTATACTTAGAACTGAAAAAATATGTTGAGTTTAATTATATCAAAAATAAAAATTTCTTTCCATCAGAGATTCCATGGAAAGAGGTAAGAGCCTTTGAAAGAAGATATTGACAATATCTAAAACTAATAAAGGATTAATTTCTAGAATATACAAAAAACTTTCTACAAAAAATTAATTGAATAAGGACAGGAATCAAAAGTAAAAATAGTCAAAGAGTAGAACAATTTGCAAAAGAGGAAACCTAAAAGGACAACAAGCATCTAAAGAGATGCTCAAACTCATTAGTGACAGTGAAATGAAAGTTAAGACAAGTGTCACTTTTCATCCATGAGACAGGCAAAAAACCAGAAATCTGATAATGAAAAGTGTTAACAAGGATGTAGAGTACACATACCTTTATGTAATGCTGGTGAGGATGTCAAGTGGTAGAACCATCTGAAAGCAACATAAATATCACCATGTTCTGGCATTCACTGTCCTGGGTATGTAGCCCAAAGATATTCTCCTACAGATCCATAAGTGGAGGACAAATACTATGTGGTGAATTATAGCTTTGCTTATAATGCCAGGAGTTGGAGGGAACCCAGTTATTAATCTTTGGGGAGTGGGTAGGCAACACGTGGTGGGTGTACATTATGGAGCACTCTACAGCAGTTAGATGCAACATACTACATATAGTCAGTAACATGGATGGATTTCAAAGTATAATGTTAAGTTTTAAAAAAGTGAGAAAATACCATACATCCACACAAAATAGCAGGGCAAATTTTATAAGAACATAAATGGAAGATACACATCAAATACACTAGAAGAGTTGCTTATGAAGGACGAAATGGGAAATGAGTCCAGTGATGATAGTGACCTATGAATTGAGGAGAATTTCTTTTGTACTTAAGCCACTGCAACAAAGCATTATTACTTATCAACAGGTCTTACAAACTGGGACTTTATGCAGGTCCTCGAATAATGTCATTTTATTCAATGTTGGCCAGGCTTTCCGCCCCCCCTTGTCAATGTTATAATGAAATGACAGTGAACAAAATGACATAATTTGAGGACCTGTGGTACATAAGGGAAAAAATTAAATGGTGTCAAGGACTAAACAGTCTTTAATTGCATATAAATTTATACATTCTAAGATTCTCTACCTTGGTATATCAAAATATCTGCTAGAAATATATGAACAAGATAAAGAATAATTTAGACAGCAGATACTAACATCTAATGCAGAAACATTTTAGTTGGAAATCAATGGAAAATCTTTGAAAAAGTACATTAGATAATATAGCCGGGGGGAAACTCAAATACAACTGTAAAAAAGCACTTTGATTTTTTTGTAGAAAAAAGACATCAAGATGCTAAGAACATGCAGTTAACATTTCTGCTGGAAATTTTTTAAAATTATGGGGCTACTAAAACACTGGAACCACATACTTTTCAAACCATGTATGTAGACCTAACCATTTTCAAACTGATTTAACAATGGACTCTACAGAGTTCTCAAAAGCAATTAGTGGCACTCAAAAACATTAGGGCCAGCTGAGTAAAAATAAGCACCCAAATGGTGGGTGAGCAATGCTTCTGTTCCTTAAAAAAAGGAAAACAAAGACTAAACATCTTTGCAATTATCTCCTAATGTGATTATTTGGTGTTTTTTTTTTTTTCCTTATTCTCATCAGACAATACTGGTGTACTTAACTAGTTAACCCTGAGGTTCAAGGGTTCTTTATTCTTGGACTTGGCAACCTCATAGATGGATAGCCTGGTCTGTGGGTGAACAGTTTTCAGCTTGAGGATGTGAAGTCTTCGCGTACCTAAACTACAAAAATTTCAGGAGGTATCACTTCTTCCTACTCTACTAAAGCAAATAACATTTGAAGATGATATGTAAATATTGATTAAAGTGCAAAACTCAAAGGCATATCTTCTTATGTATGGAAACAACCCAAATGGCTTTCCCATCTCAATTGACTTCTCTTTTAATTTTCCCCCACAAGTTCAGTTTAATTAAAGAATGTTTATTGAACATTTATTCTGGAAAAATTGCATGTGGCGTAACTCCTGCCCTCCAAAAATTTATCACTCCTTGCCTGTGTTTATATATCCATGATTCTGGGTCTATGTGGCATAGACCCAGAGAGGGAACAGATAGGTGGGTACAGTTGAGAGTAGAATAAAGCAATTCCCCAAATATTTGTTATAGAGAAGATGACATGTTCAGTGAGAATCAAAAATAGAAATACTGGGCCTCCCCAGTGGTGCAGTGGGCTGAGCACTGCGCTTGGAAGCTGTCTGCAGCCTCCTCAGTGTGGGTTCGATTCCCAGCCGGCCAGGGAGAAACCCACATGGTGTGGCAGACCTCTCCAGCCTCACCTGCTGCTCCCCTCAGTGGTTTCTTCGGTCTGTCTGCCTGCTTTGCTCCTCATTCTGTCTCCAGTGAATCCTCTCACCCTCCTGCGCCTCTGACTATACCCCAGTTCTTGTATATATAAATAAATCTTAAAAAAAAAAAATGATACTGTTGTGGCTTGGGATTTCCAGGCAGAAAAACCATTTAAAAAGAGAGAGAGAGAGAGAGAGAAATACACTTATACTTCTCTATAATTTTGCATATTTTTATTATTCTCTAAAGTTGAGAATCTTGTATTTTAGGATGTGTTCAACTTGGAACCAATAGGGGGTTGAGAAATTATAACTGAAGGACATGATAATCCTCCCTCAGTTTGGTATGAAAAATAGAAATTAAATTAAACTAATCTGAACTAGAAGCGTGCTCCCTGAGATATTGTGCAATAAATAGGAATCAATCTAAATCATCCCAGACAGATACAAATCATTACCATTTTTCAATCCCATTGTAAAAGGCCGCCATGAACAACTCCAGACATCTAGCATAGTGCTTAACTTCTCAGCAGTTGTTAAATGATTAATATAAATTTCATACTACAGGTTAAAATCTTTCAAATTTTCTTGTTAGGATAAAAGCTGAGAATAGTTAGTTGCCAACTGTGATTCAATTAGCCTTCATTGTAAAATAGAGCCCCTTTCTAATGCTGGCTCCTTGGTAGATAGCAATTAGATTCATGTGTAAGAATTTTACGGTATGATATTTATCATTTAGCACATATTATGCTATTGTCCTACTAATTTAGATGGTGTGGTTTGATTTACATGTTATAAAGAATCACGTGGTAACAGAATTCTACTTTATTTCAAGGCCATTTTTTGGTCATCTCTTACAACTCTCAGACTCAATAACCCAAAGATTTTTATCTCAGTATTTCATGCATATTTAAACTTCCTGGAGAGAATTTCCACACCTAGATAGCAATCCAAAGAACACAAAAACACTAATTGGAAAAGAAACCTGCACTCTCATGTTTATAATAGCACTATCTACAATAGCCAAGATATGTAAACAACATAAATGACCCAAAACAGATGAATGGACCAAGAAGATGTGCTACATATATACAATGGAATACTACTCAGTGATCAAAAAGGATAAACTCATACCAAACTAAATGACGTAAGTCAGAAGGAAAAAGATTAATACCAAATGGTTTCACTTATGTGTGGAATATAGAGAAAATAAACAAAAGGTCAGATAAAGACAAACCTTGAAAGTTGACCATATATCTGAGGCATGTAGCAGTTGTAGTAAGAGGGAAAGGGCTGAAAAGAGTAGGAGAAGAACACACTGGACTATGACTAAGGCTACCACAGGGGGATATGTGGGGGGAGCAAAGGGTACAGAGGGTCCAATGGATAATTACTGGAGCTTTGGTGGTGGGTGTGATGAAATAACATGCTATTACAGAGTTGTAATCCTATACCACTAAGACATATACTGTGTTGTATATCAACATTTCTTCAGTAAATATAATTTTACAAAAATAAATAAATAAATGTGCTGATTATCCTTAGCAACTATGATTGGGAAAATATATCCATGTGACTGGGAGTGAATCTTAGGGAAATCCCAATTCCAGGACTTTCTTAGAAAGTTTAAGAGTCTCCTCTTTCTCAGATCCGGAACGTCAATTAATGTTACATAGGTGACTTGACTTTGTAAAATCTGCTTTTCGTTTCCTGTCTATTTACAAAATGTAACTGACATTTCTGTGTTCTGCAGATAGATGATGCTTGTTCATCCTTCCTGTCTATTGATTATCAGCCTCAGGTAATTCCACATGAAGGTATTTCCTAATGATGTAGATAAATATTTTTGTAGTGCTGAAATACTCCATTTTTTCCTTTGGAACTGTCATTACTTTATAGACGTGTTAAAACATGTCTACATATTAGAAACTATTATGTCATCTTCAGGTAATAATCAGTGCTATGAGCTTAGGTTTGTAAAGTGCTAGGGCTTTTATCTCTAGATAAAGTAAATTTGCAGGTAACGTGTACATATTATAGAAATTAAAACGCCACTTTTAAAATCAAATTGTGTTGGATTTAAAATAATGTTTCTATTGCTGTATTTTGAAGCTGATATCCTGTCCAACACTGAGTGTGAAACCCATAGAGAAATAAACTGACAGAAAAAGACTTTAAAAGAACAAAGTATCATTGTAAATGAAATGTCAGTGAAATGTTGATTTGTGAGTGTGGCCTTAGATCTGATGCCAAGTATATTTGCTAGAACTGCTCCCAGAATTAAACTGGGGTTAGGTTGTGACTCAGGGTCTCTCGCCAGAGTCAAGTTTTCTGCCACAGGGCAGAGACCAGACATAAACAACCATCCAGAAAGCTGGCTCCCTAACAGGAAAGGGCTGAACAGAGCTTGCCCAATATTCTTCTCCCAATCTATCACCTATTGGGTAACTCCTCTTCCTATGGGAAAGAGTTAAGACAGGATTGGGAGGGAGGTGTGTTAGTGTAGCTCCTGTAATTGAAAACATGAGAAATGGGAAATGTGTGTCCTTTTTATACCCTCCCCATTGGACACTGCTTCTTGTGTCTGCAGTTCTCTGAGGCAGGTATATCATAGTTAGCTTCAGTGTCTTGACTTTCTTAATTAGTATCACTAGTCTCCTGCAAAAAGAAGAGGACTCAGCAGAGTCTTCATGGCACCCCTGGTCAAGATGTCTTAACTTTCAACATAGTCCTTCCAGAAGATCATCCTGGCCAGTGTAGAGAAACAGTTTTGTGTCTGTATTTCTTCTTGTGTTGTCATTGTCCTGTCTCAATCCATTCCTTTGTTGGCAGGGAATCATTTGTAGAAAGTTAGAGGCATTAGGGCCTCCCCGGTGGCGCAGTGGTTGAGCGCTGGGTTGTGAAGCTCCCTGCAGCCTCTGCGGCGCCGGTTCGATCCCCGGCTGCTCCCCGCCCACCGGAGGAGGGTCCCACATGGCGCGCAGACCTCTCCTGCCGCCCGCTGCTCCCCTCAGCAGTGTACTTCAGTCCTTCTGCCTGTTCTGCTCCCCGCTCTGGCTCTGGTGAATTCTCTCACCCTCACACGCTTCTGACTGTACCCAGTGCATGTATAAACAAACAAACAAATAAATAAATAAATAAAATACGTGCCTCTTTAAAAAAAAAATGTTTAAAAAAAAAAAGAAAGTTAGAGGCTTTAGATGGTAAGGCATGATCAGGATCACAATAGATGATATTTATGAATAATATGTCAAAGCACTCAGGGAGCACTGATGGATCAATGATTTGTAATAGATATTGATCATCAGCAAGCTTTTGCATTGTGTTTGGAATTCAGGAACACCCCGAGGATGACTTTTAATTTCCACAATAGTGAAAGGATGAATTTTTAAGCACTTATCTAAACATCAAAATAAACTAAGTGTTTTTTTGGATATGAATACAATGCACCTTTTGAGGAGAGTCTGGTCCTTTTACTAAGGAATCTTTTACATTAACCAAATTAACTTTAAAAACCATTCATTTTCACATTAACTCTTATTTTATTGTTTATGCAGTTATACATTTTTACTTCATAGAAAATAAAGGATTTTTAAGGTCCACAAATAAAATGTTAGTATGAGAAAAATCCATGAAGAGTGGCTGTGGCTATACCAGAATTAGGGGATGAGGGAAATGCAATTTGTTTTGAAACTTTTTCTGTTAAACTTCAACCTCACTTCCAAGCCTCATCCACCTTAGAAGTTGCTTTCTTAGGAGACATTTATTCTCCTCATAAATTTATTTCTTCCTTGAGTTGAGAGATACATCTTTAACACATGATTATTTCTTTTTATTGTTTTATCTTTTACAGCATTTCTAGATTGGCAATGAAAGGAGCTTTCAGGGATTTATTTCCAGATTTCTTTTATGAGTTGACCTGTGTTTACCTGTTCTTGAAGGGGGAAAGTGAGAGAGGAGGTTTCAGTGGCCATGCTCTGCTTTTCCTCTCATCCAGGTCCCAGCCTCAGGCTTAACTGTCATTACCAATGCAACACAGGAATGTCTAGAGGTCAGAAGAACTGCTTAGAGGTCACTCTGCCAACTATTAGCCTTCGTGCTATCAGGCAAGTGACAAATCTTCCAGGAAACTCACTTCCTTCATGCATGAAGAATAACAGTTCGTGTCCTGATACCTCACAGCTGTGCATGAGTGTTTGGTGATTTATTAAAGCACTAGATAAATAGGAGCCATTTTATTATTATTAATAAATAACCCAACAATTTGCATAGTAGACAAACAAATGGAAAAAGACAAGGAAGATCTCTGATGCTAAGAAGAGTGCTCAGAGAGGCTGTTTCATGACTCTAGCCATATCCTGAACTACAACCAACCATGCTAAACATGCACTGTTCAATGGCTGAGAATATTAGTGGCCCTAAATGATCCTACTGATGAGTATTCTAAATTAAAAGTAACTGCAGCTGTAAATCAAGGTTTGCAGGTCACACATTTTTAAATGCTGCTGTTGTTAACTAATTGCTATGCACTTGGACCTTGCAAAGAGCTTTACCTCTATTTAATCCTTCCAAGAGCTCTTGACAGTGATGTTTTCATCCCTGATTTATGGCTGAAGACACTGTAGTTTAGACAGGTTAGGTAACCAGCCCAAGGTAACACAATTTGAAGAGTAGGAATAGGATTTGCACAGATACAGAGTTACAGGCTGCTCAACTCTGTAGCCCATGTTTTTAACTACTCATTATATTGCCCCCTCCATTGTTCTGCTTCCTCATTTCTTCAAATATACATTTATTAAGTAGTTAATTGTGGTACTACTGTGTGAAATTCTGTGCAAAGTAGGTTTCGCCCCTGCTTGTCCATTTGTGCCACTCCCCAACACGCCCAACTGGCTGCAAACCACAAGGAGCTCTGCCCTACTTCTGTGCTCAAATGCTTTGAAAAACCTGATCCTGGGGTGTGCAGTCAGCAGCCTCGAAGCGTGGTAACTCAGATTAGGTGCACCTCGCACAGCTTCTTCCCCTCCAACACCCATTGTTTGCAAGCAATTGCAGGGTTTTCAAATTAGTCAATAATGAGTAATAATCAGAGAGGTTCACAGTTTTGGCATGCAGATTCAGACTTTATTACAAGTTGGAGAGGATAATCCCTCTTTTGGCATTGCCTTACCTACTGTTAGTCACAGAATTTCATGGGCTCTTAGCAAGTACTGAGAGCTATGAATCTGAACCACAGTGGAAATTTTAATCAGCCTTAAACATACAGTAACAGGGTTTCTTTTTTCCGGTTGGAAGGAAAGTTTTACTCATAAGAGCCAAGTTTTTGTCATGTGAGAAATCAAGAGATTCCAATACAGTTTCTATTAACCACAAGAAGGATTCTGGGTAATGGGACTATCTCTGTGGTCCTGACATTCTACAGTTTTATCTTCTCTACAAATGTTGTTAAAGCAAAAGCGCCTCTATATGTTCTCATTTCCATTAGGCATCCAGTGCACTGGAGGAGCTTTGCCTCACAATTATGGGGATTCTACCAAAGCCCCAGGTAAGTTTGGAATCGTATTTTATTTACAGGCAAAACACTGCCCAGTGAATTCCTCCTGGAAGCAAACATACCCAATTTAGGAAGCATGCCAAGGGGAGCTAGAGGAGGATAAATTGGTTTGGATGAGAAACAAATACTTGAGTTGCTCTACTGTCTGAGAATTTAAATGTAATGTCATATTAATGCAAACTGGAAAATCATTGTTCCCCTCTGTAGGGCCTCAACTACAAGCTTACCCAGTGCTAAATGGCGGGAGATGAGAAAGCAGGACACAAAATCCGTATGTGTGGAGCACAGTCTCTATTAGGAGGCAATAGATGAAACACAGGTAGCAAAGGTGGCAGTGGCAGTCCCCTGGGCTCCAGCCATAGCAGTGTTACGTGTCCTGTGAATGGCCAGTAAGAGGCCCAAGAGAGGCCAGCCCTGAGGAGACCTATTAGCTTTTTTCCCCCAAAGATTTATTTTTGTTTATTTGTACATACAAGAACTGGGGTGTAGGCCAGAGGTGCAGGGGTGGTAAGAATATTCACCAGAGACAAAGTGGGGAGCAGAACAGAGAGATCTACTGAAATACACTGCTTTGAGGAGCAGCAGACAAGACAGGAGAGGTCTGCTGTGCCCTGTGGGTCAGCTCCCTGACCGGGGATCAACTCAGGCCACAGTGGCTGGCGATAGCTTAATAGCACTGAGACTTTAACCCCTAAGGCACCCAGAAGCCTCCCCCACTAGTTTTTTTTATGATTTATAGTCAAAGCCAGCACAGGGCCAAGTTTAGGCCTAGTTTACATAAGTATGTTTGTGCATGCAAATTATACATCAAGGTTATATATTGTTTACTGCTTTCTGCACATGCAGATTATGTCTCAAGGTTACGTGTTATCTATTAGACCATCTGTGCTGGAAGGTCACTGGGGAAAACAGTCTGAGATACTCCAAGAAGACTGTGTTTTCCCATGGACCCTACATCCTCAAATGTAGATGTGTTCCAGTTCTGATAAGAGAAATTCGGAGTCATTTTGGTTCCTTTTCACTCTCTGATTCATAGCACAGTTGGACAACAGATGCATCTTTTTGAGCTTGGAGATTAAGATATTGTACTTTGTTAGAGAGAAGGACATTAAGAATATGGTGATGGTGCACAAGTGAATTGGTGGTGGGAATTTTACAGGGACTACATCTGAGAGGAGAAAGCGAACATGAACAAATGATGAATAAAAATGAACAATGATGTAAAATATACATAAGTAAATAAATTAAAAAAAAAATAAAACAGCGTAAGGCCTCCCTGGTGGCACAAGGGGCTGTGAAGCTATCTGCAGCCTCTGCAACACGAGGTCCATCCCTGGCTGGTCAGGGAGCTACCCACCTGGCGCAACAGACCTCTCCTATCGCCTGCTGCTCCCCTCAGCAGTTTATTTCAGTCAATCAGCCTGTTCTGCTCCCCACCCTGGCCTGTCTTTGGTGAATCCTCTCACCACTCCCCCACCCCTGCACCTTTGGCCTGTATCCCAGTTCTTATATTCATAAATAAATAACTCTTAAAAAAATAAATAAAACAATGTAAATACAAAAATCAGTTGTAATTGTCAAAATCAGTTTGAAAATTATATTCTTATGATGTCTGATAATTTGTTTCTTCTTATTTCCTTATTAAAGATAAGAGCCTCTGGCTTAGAATTATATGTTTCTTTGGCCATTCCAATTTAACCTATGATCACTGATACATTCTGACTTGTTTACCTTTTACATACAAGAGTTCAGAGAGGCCTTGGTATTTTGAAAAGTGAAATCATTCAAGTGTGTGTCTTTCCAGTGTTTGTAATGGTGACATTTTCCCCAAAATTTCACTTTTCTTCCTAATTAAGATAAATTACTATGTTTTCTATAGCCATTATTTTATTTTTGTGTTATAAAGCAAATGAGAATAAGAAAGAATAACCCAAAAAAGGGGGGATCATATGACTCTTCTTAAAAACAAATTTTTGGACATAGAGAAGTTTATGAAATAAAGCAAAAACAACTCATAATTTAGTGATAACACCTACAAATATTTTTAAATGATATGATACAATCTTATAGCATTGTAAACTTTAACTATATGTTATTATTATACATAATATGCATTACAATTTTATAATGCATAATATAACAATATTTATGTTTCTTTTTAACAGGAAACAGATGAAAAAGATGATACCAAAAGGGTAAGGTGATTTCCACAAATATATACATTAAAAAATAATAAATGAAACCATTAAGCTCACTACCTTTTTTTTTTTAATAGTTCTTATTTCATTATTCAAAGACACAGAAGTTGGGCAATTCAAATGTTGTGGTAAGTTGGGAATTACTTCTTATTAATAATCACTAGTATTTTTTTTCTTTAAAAATCTGGTTTTGCAGTGTATCTAATAGAGCTAGATTAAAATTCATGTTTTTCAGTTTAAGAGTTTATATGTGGGTAAACAAATGGAATTAAATATTTATTATACATTTATATTTCAATAACTACATGTATATTAAATCAATTCATTTATCCAACAATTACTTACTGAGTATCAACTTTGTGCCAAGCACAATTCTAGGTACTAAAAATATAGCAGTAAATTAAATATAAAATAAAGCAAGAAATCCTTGTCTCATGAAATTTACATTCTAGAGGCAAAGGAAAAAAACAAATAATAAACTAAAATGTATTGTTTTAGATGGCATGTAGTACGGGGGGGGGGAAATAGTTTTATTCAAAGGCATTTTAAGAATCATTGTAAAAGATGATTGTCAAAATGTAATTAAATGTAACTAAAAATATCCAATTTTCTTCCTAATATCTCTTTATTTGTAAATAAGCATTTAATGTGAGAATTTACAAAAATTCGCGAGAATTCATTGCACTTATTTTTTTAAAAATAATTTGTTTTATTTATTTATTTATGCATACAAGAGCTGGGGTATAGGCCAGACCTGCAATGGGGTGAGAGGATTTGCCAGAGACAGAGTAGGGAGCAGAACAGGAGGACTGACTGAAATTTCCTGCTAAGGGGTGCTGTCTGCGGTGAGACAGGAGAGGTCTGCTGCACTACGTGAGTTAGCTCCCTGGCCAGGCATTGAACTCTGCAGTGGCTGGTGACAGCTTCATAGTGCTGAAACTTAACCCCTTGCACCACCCAGGAGGCCTGCATTGCACTTTTTAATTGTGTGGTTTTAATGATAGATTTTCTTTCTATGTACGGATTAAAAAAAAATGCTAACCAACCTACTCTGGTGTTTAAGTCTAGAATACTCAGTAATTATTTGACTACAATATTTTTTATAAGCTTGTGACTCATTGATCTATTCAGGAAATGAGGAACATAGTGTATTTGAAACCTGTGTGTACTTGTGGAAAGGTAACTGTAATCTTAAACTCAGTTTTAAGTGTTTATCACATTGAACATTCTTACATATAAAGGAGTGAAAGTTAGTTTATACTGGTGTTAAACAAAATACAAATTGAATTGGCTAACATAGCTATCACATAGGACTCAAAGTAATCCATTTGATAAATGAATTTAATGTTTGTAAGCAGGTTCAATTCAAACCATGCCTATAAAATGAAACTATCATGTATCCACCTGTCTTAAATGTACGGTCCTTTTTTTCTGCTTAGCACCTTTACGTTTGGAGAAAACATATCTTAGTCACAGTTTTCACAATCAACAACACGTTGCCATTTTATGTATTCCCTGTTATCTTGTTCCATATGTTCAGTTTTAGATAAAAGATATCATTTATCAAGGAGTTTGCCAGATGTGTGCACAGTGTAATCTTCCAGACAAACATTTTCATGATGGAAAACTGATTCTCACAGAGTTGGTTGCATCTGTCCCAAATCATTTTAAGGAAGTGTGGAAGCAGACAGCTTTTTGCCCCTCAGAGATGCAGGCAGGTGTTTTATTTATTGGCAGCTGATGACAGAACGGAGGCCCTCAGGACAGTGCGTCTTCAATAGGATGACAAAGATTCTGGTGTAGAGCTACCAAATTGTATCCCCACTCTTAGCTAATTAATTCTCCAGGCTTTTGAAGCGCTCTCAAAGGACTGTCTTAGACAACATCTTTCTTGTTCTTTTTCGTCTGGAGCAAATCTGGTGGGTAAAAACAAAAATAAACAAATAGGAAACTGTCTTTATGCTCACGCTGAGAAGCCTTTTTGCTCATTGTGTGTGTTCGTGTCTCTTAGTCGTCGTCTGTTGTGCATCCGCTGCTGCACCTCGTTCCTCAACTGCATGAGAGAAGAATGAAGAGGTTCAAAGTGGACGTATGTAATGTCAATTGCATGCCGCACTGTGTGGGGCAGCCCTTTCTGTAATTCCCAGTTGTGGTGGTATATCCTTCTTGAGGATAAACCCTACATACAGCCCAGTTAATCTGTATAACGGCATCTGTATGCAGAGGTATTTCCACACTCAGGAAGAATTGGACTCCTCCCCAAATTAGGTCCCTTTTTTTTTTTTTTTAAGATTTATTTATTTATGTATACAAGAACCGTGGGTACAGGCCAGAGGTGTGTTTGTGGGGTGGGGCAGTGAGAGGATTCACCAGAGACAGGGTGGGGAGCAAAACAGGCAGATCTACTGAAATACACTGCTGAGGGGAGCAGTGGGCGAGACAGGAGAGGTCTGTGCCATGTGGGACACCTCCCTGGCCGGGGATTGAACTCGTGCTGCAGTGGCTGTGGTCAGCCCCATAGTGCCGCATCTCAACCCCTTTCGCCACCAGGGAGGCCCCACATTAGGTCCCTTCCAACTCTACCTGTGGGCAGTGAGGAAAGCTGGGGTGAGTTCCCTTCCAAGGGCCACGGCCCTCTCAGTGAGAAAATCTGGTCCTGATTTAAGAAAGGACATACAGCAGTGTGCCACTCATAGGGCATAAAAGGAAAGGCAACTTACTGTCCCTCTCTGTACAACTTGGCAAATGGCCAGGGTGACAAATTCTATCCAAGGAATTAAAATGTTAGTAAACCTCATGCAGTGAATATGTCAGAAACTAAAAATAGGTGTTTTTTTCCCACATTAACAAAAATAGGACCCAAATCTAGTCTCTATGTTTAAGATGAATATAACTGAGTTATCACATCTTTAACTAGAAGTTAGGTTTTTTTTTTATTGTCCTGATAAAAAAAGAATGATGATGTTAGGCCTCCCCAGTGGCGCAGCGGTTGAGCGCTGGGTTGCGAAGCTGCCCGCAGCCTCTGCAGCGCCGGTTCGATCCCCAGCTGCTCCCCGGCCACCGGAGGAGGATCCCGCATGGCGCGCAGACCTCTCCTGCCGCCCGCTGCTCCCCTCAGCAGTGTACTTTGGTCCTTCTGACTGCTCTGCTACCCGCTCTGGCTCTGGTGAATTCTCTCACCCTCCCGCGCTTCTGACTGTACCCAGTGCTTGTATAAATAAATAAATAAATCTTAAAAAAAAAAAAATAGTAACCGAAAAAATTTCATGAGAATCATAAAATGTTAAATTCTTTCCCATTAAATGAATTCTTTTCCTTTAAAGGATAACCCCTCAAAATATACCCATTGTATAATGGATTTGTTTCTGTTTGGTATATTTTATTATCATTATCTGTAAGTATAAATTATATACTCTTTTGAAGTCTCATGGAATATAGTTTATCGACACTTTCACTTAATTTAAGCTAAAGTTCCTATAGAAATATTGTGCATTTAAGTTCTGACACAATTCTTTGTTGTGTTTTTCCCTGTTCACATGTTAACACATACAATAGATATTTTAAAGAAATTACTTCATTCTAACAATATGTTGAAAGGAGACTTTATATGTAGTTAATTATTGTCTTTCTACTTATTGATGAATATGTGTACAGCTACAACCTTCCTGAAAATAGAATGTTATATTGATAAGAAAATTAATATAAAATATAATGTCTGATGATACTGCTAGTTGCTGAAAATTCTTCAGCTAAAGAAAAAGATTATTTATTGATGTGAATTATATATTCAAGTCCTTGATTCCCCTTTAGTTATGATAATTGAAAATAACTTTGAACCTCCCTATAATGTCAAGAAGAATGTGAATTTATTTTTTTTATTTAAAAAAACCTTATTTTCTCTTCCAGGAAGAAATCCAAGTTCCTCCTGCAAGTAAACGTCAAAGAATGTTTGCATTCAGGGTATGCACATACTGTGTTTTTAAAAAATCAATAGAAAAATACTTTCACTACGTCACGAGTTTTAAGTTTTGAAGTTTACTTATAGCTTTATGACATCAGGTGTTACAGTACACTTATTAAATCACCTTATTAGTTTAATACCGTGACATCTCTGTTCTCTAATCTACTAGTCATATTTGTAATTCTCTAATTACATTCACCTGTTTCACAGTTCTATTCCATAACACTTCAGGTGCAAGAAGTGAGTTTCTTGCTCACTTTATTCTCTAGATTTTGAAGCTCATTTACTAAATTTTTGATTCAGTAGACTGGAAGAGTGTCACATTTTCACAATTGTTTAAAAAAAATTCAACTACAAGAAGAGGCAAAACATTGTAATTGCATTTCATATTTGTATATCCAGATTGTAGATGAAATGTGAGTTTCTTTTTAAGCAGCTCTATTTTCTAAAGTATTTGTATAATTAATACATTAGCAGAGATTTTTCATTTATTCATTTTGGAGCTATTTATTGAAGTCCTACTATGTGCTGGGCAATGTACCAAAGGTTAGAAATATAAAGACAGGATTTCATTCTTATGCTCTAAGTTTGCAGCCTCATATAGGACATATTGATAAACAAATACAAAATGCTATGTTAATTATCCCTTCAATCCAGGACTGTGATTTCTAGAAAAATGTAGTCACACAAGTCTGCAGAGTGGAGGAGTTACAGAGAATGCTGTCAGGGTTAAGTTTGAAGAATTAGCAAGAATTTGCCAATGAAGTATTTAGCTAAGGAATTTCAATTTTAATGTGAAGGCTAAGGCAGGATTTGATTTTGGAATCTAGTTATAACAAAATAGACAATGGGTTGAAGGAAAGAACAAGACTAGATGGACAAAAACAATATTAAACAACCTTGACTTAATTTGGTTAATTTAATTTCACATCAAAATAAAATTGTGAACATTTGTTTTTAAACTTTGGGGCTTTCAATGAAATAAACAAAATCAAATAATGTAAAATTTAATGTTGTCCTCAGCAGCTTTAGCATCATCCAGAACTTATTAGAAATGTAAGTTTTAGGGTACCACTCTTAACTTGTAAAAACTCTAGCTGTGTGATCCAACAATTTGTGTTGGAACAAAACCTCCAAAGATTCTGATGTCCATTAAAGTCAAACACTTATTGAGATCAGTATAAGCTGTGAAATTTAACTAGGAATGTTAATTTTTCTCCTTAATTATACTGATTTTTATTTCAATTTATTATTTTGTAGCCACGCAATGGGAGAAGGTCAGAAGATTACATTTAAAATGGTGTGAGAAGAAACAAAGCAAGCAAACAAACAACAAAACAAAAACAAACCCTTAGAATGACGACAGATGTTGGTTATCAGAGGAGAAGGGGGCATGGGTGGGAGTACTGGGCGGGGAGGGTCAATTGGATAGTGGTAGATTAAAACTAGATCTTAAGGGGTGAACATGATATGTTAAATACATTTGTGAAACTGTACTCCTGAAATTTATATGGTGTTGTAAATCAATCTTACCTCAATAAAATAAAGTGGTATGTGCTTCAAAATTCAATTCAGTTTGAAATTTTCTGTCATTTTCAGATATTCACAAATTAAACTATGCTCAGTATATTTATATTATTTGACTGAAGGTCACTAATGTTCTACATGAATACTACAATTAGAGGGACTATAATGATTGAGCCTAGTTGTGAGGACTTTGATGAAAAATGCTAGTATTTTAGGACTAGCTTTCCTTTGTCCATGTCGTATACTCCTGAGACTATGTCACAATGGCCATCATAATTGTTTTTAGAGACGTTGAATTTATTATCATTTGTTGTCAGGAATTACATTCTTATTTTGGTAATTGCTGTCCAAATAATGGTCCAGAACTTAGTGAATGTATCTCTGTCTTCCAGATGACCCATATTCAAAGATTCTTTATAAAGAAATAACTTACCATTTATAGGGAACTAAGAAAATATGAAAAGATGTGCGAGTATGACTTCTAATTTGAGATTCCTAGAGTCTCTACCTCAGTGCTTGAATTACAGTAGATATTTAGCAGCTACTGAATGCCCCTACATGTTTAGTCAATATATTATTAATAATATCTTGTAAGGCTTTGATTTTTAAATTAAATCAAAATTCAGAGTGATAAACTTATACCACATAAATACAAATATATTCTACTAACTTTATGTAATCCTAAATGCAGATACCATGATTAGTATATTTTTACAAATATTTCATTCATATGACTAATCTCAACCCTTAAATACAGATTTATCTTACAAATGTTAAAATTCTTAATATTTTCTCATGGGAAAAAAAATCAAAACACACTATTTCTAATCAAAGGAGACATCAACACCAAAGTTTTACAGTATGTAGGAAATGAAGATAATAAAAGCATTGTATATTAACACAGGACTGCCAAAACCATAGCCAGTGGAAAATTCAATGTTTTCAACACTATCAAGCAAGAAAAGATGAGTGGATTAAGACTAACACTGCAAGTTTATAAAGAGCAACAAGCTGAACATCAGGAAAGTAAAGAGAAGAAAATTGTAAAGTCAAAGATGAAATTGCTAAATTATAAAATAGTAAAGTAGAAAATTGATAAAACAAAAATCTAATTCTTTGCAAAAATCAAAATTAAAATGAACTAATAATTAGCCTAGCCTAATCAAGAAAAAAAGGCAGAAACCAAAAGTATCACAAATGTATATGAAAAGAGAAACTCTAAGCCAGGTATAGAAGAAATGGAAATTATAGAAGAGTACTTTTCAAAGTTCCTGTTATGAACTTATTATTATGAAGCCTCATTAGCCCAGTGGGAATTCCTATTAGTAATCAAGTAGGTCCACCCTATTTATAAATATCAGCACAAAAATTTTAAAGAAATATTAGTAAATAGTAATGAACAGTATATTAAAAGAAAAATATGGTTCCATGAAGTTTGTTCTAGCCTCTCAGGATAGTTCAGCATTAGAACATCTATTAAACTATTTTCACTACTGGAAGAAAATGTATATGACCATTTCAATAGATGCTTTTGGTAAAACTCCAAATCAATTTCTGATGTCTTAAAGAAGATTCTATGAAAAGAGATGAATCCTTTCCTAATGTTATTTATATAAGCTTTCAAACAAAGTCAGTAGCAGACTTGATAGCATCTCCACTAATGTCAGGTGCAAAAAACAGGATACACTGTCAATTTTCTTAATGTAGTTCTTATTGCATTAACCCATTCAGTGAGACAAGAAAGACATAAAATATACAAATATTGGAAAGTGAAGAAAAAATATGTGTTCATGGAGGGTATAATTAGAAACTTTCATTTTCAATATTTGGCATTAACTCCCTTTTCAGCAAAAGCTTGTTTAAATTATGTCCATGTTAAGAATATGAACATTTTTTCATTTCTCAAGGAACAGAGAACAAAGAGTTAATGGAAAAGAAACTTATTTGATGATTTTCTTTTATATTCTACAAATGTGGAGGGTATTTACAAAATGTGAACAAAAGCAATTTAATACTGAATGGGAAAGAAAAAAAGTCTGTGATTATAACACTAAAGTAAGTTGAAATTGTCCACAAATGTGAAATGGAATTTAATACATGATTTGAACAATTTACTGAAAAATTTTCTCTGAAATTGAGAAAAATAGGTTTATTTGGATTGTTCCCAAAATTAGGGGCTCCACAAATTAGTTCACTCAGGATTTCATTTTATTTTGTCAATAGATAAATAGTTCGGTGATTATTTTTTTCTTGTTTTTCTCTTCTGATTATCTGAGGCCTTGCTTTGTTCTGATGAGTTATAGTTCCATAGAAAGTGGTTAGAGATAAAATAGGATGATTTAGTTGCAAATACACACACAAAAAAATACAAAAAGAAAACTGCAACTTTTGAAATATTTTATCCACAAATCTTGTTATCTATATGCTTTAGGAAACCACTTTTTTATATAGTAAAATACCGTTAAAATTTTGGAAAATACAGAGAGAATAAGCGTCAGAGACTAAATGATAGCTATTTTTCAGTATGTATATTTTTAGCTAAGAAATAGCTCAGATGTCAATTTTATCATATATAACAAAAATTTTAGAGATGTTAATATATGAGCCTTATATACACACATTCATATACTCATTTATACTTGGATCTCACTTGATTTTTCTTACTTTACAGGATACCAATTATTATCCACAGAGACAACAACGTAGAATACAAAACACACTGACAGTTTGTTTTCTTCTCAAAACAACCCTGGCTAAGTTTACCATATTTGAGATCCCTGTGTTGCAAACATTCTCAGTAAAAATTGATTAAGATTGTAAATGTTTAATTTATGAAAATTAAAAAAGCAAAGCATCAAAATATTTTTCTTAGTGTTGTAATGATAGTGTGTAATAAACTGTAATGACACCCTTTGATCACTGCTGCTTTTGACAGTAGATGCCCATGCTCTTTTGTAATTTTTTTTTAGATTTATTTATTTATTTATACAAGAGCTGGGGTACAGGCCAGAGGCGTAGGGGCTAAGAGGACTCACCAGAGGCAGAGTGGGGAGCAGAACAGTGGGATCTACTGAAATACACAGGCAGACTGACCGAAATACACTGCTGAGGGGAGCAGCAGGTGAGACAGGAGAGGTCTGCTGTGCCATGTGGGTAGCTCCCTGGCTGGGGATCGAACTCGTGCTGCAGTGGCTGCAGATAGCTTCTTAGGTTGCGTCTTAACCCCTTGTGCCACCAGGGAGGCACTTCTTTTGTAATTTTTAATGGTACATGGAGGGTTGAGTGTTAATGAGCTATTTTGGTTTATTCTATTTGGTCTATGTCAGTGACAAAATCACTAGCTCCTCTAATAGAATGTCCCAAAGAATACAATCTTGGAACATGAATACCAACTAAAATGATGTGAGTTGGAGAGTTTGGCCCTGATTCATCCAATAGTTCAATGAGCAAGTTCCAATTATAGACTAAACTAGATGTCTGATTACAACAAACATATCAGAGGGCAGTTTTTTCTATCAACTAGTAGTATTCAGTTTATTTAATCTTCAATTAAGTTGTTTCACCCTACAACTTCTTGTCGATTACCAGAAAGAAAAACATTCTTTTTTATAAATTACTCTGCTTTTAGAAAGTGTAAATGGCCACCCGTCATAGCTTTTTTTAAATTTATTTTATTATTATTTTTTAAATTTTATATTTTTTTTACATCATTTTTCATTTTTGCACAATGTATGCATTTTCATCTTGGTTATAGTTCCCATACAATTCCCACCCCGCTTTGTTTTGATCCTACTCCATCCTCCCCCACCTGCAGTGTGTCTCAGGTTCATGGTTGCTTGTTGATTTTGTTTTTTACTTTATTATAATTAGTCTTTTTCCTGGTCCCTTATTTAGGTTTTCTAAATTCCTGCTATGAGTGAGACCATCCAGTATTTTTCTTTTTCTTTCTGGCTTATTTCGCGGAGCATGATCCCTTCTAGCTCCATGCATGTTGCTGCAAATTGCATGAGTTTATCTTTTTTGATGGCTGAGTAATATTCCATTGTGTATATGTACCACATCTTCTTGATCCAGTCATCTATTTTGGGGCATTTGGGTTGTTTCCATAGCTTAGCTAGTGTAAATAGTGCTGCTATAAACATATGGGTGCAGGTGCCCTTTTGAATTAATGTTTCTGTGTCCTTTGGGTAAATACCTAAGAGTGGAATTGCTGGATCATATGGAAGCTCCATCTTTAGCAGGTTGAGGGATCACCACACAGCTTTCCATAGTGGTTGGACCAGTTACACTCCCACCAGCAGTGCAGGAGAGTTCCTTTTTCTCCACATCCTCGCCAACATTTGTTGTTGCTAGTTTTTTAATATGTATCATTCTTACTAGTAGAGGGTCATGAACACACTGAGAAAAGTTTTTTTTTTTACATCAAATCAGTGTTTAATGGACACAAAATTAATTTAAGATGGATGCTGAGATTGTTTCCTATTGGGTTTTCCTAGGTTTTCCCATCTGACTTGCCTCTTGGATAACCATCTATTTCACAAAGCAAGTTCCTTGTTGTTGAAAGGATGCTCTCTGAGTAGGTAGGATTAGATTCGATACTCTTCAGAGTAGAGAGTTTTTTTGTCTTGCTAATGTTGAGCATGGATTATAGCAAACATTACGCATTTTACTAACAAAGTCCTGAATTCACTTCTTGCCAACTCATACAAAGAACATAAGGACAGAAGGAAAGGAGGCTAAAATGTACATTCTTCTTTTAAAAACAAATTTTCTTGGGCCTCCCTGGTGGCGTAGTGGGTTGATCACAGCGCTGTGAAGCTGTCCACAGCCTCTGCAGTGCAGGTTCGATTCCCGGCGGGCGAGGGAGAGTCCCACATGGCGTAGCAGACCTATCCTTTCACGCCCACTGCTTCTCTCAGCAGTGTATTTTGGTCCTTCTGCCTGTTCTGCTCCCTGCTCTGTCTCTGGTGAATTCTCTCACCCTCATGCACCTCTGTCCTTTACCTCAGTGCTTGCATAAATAAATAACTCTTAAATAAATAAATAAATAATCACAAGCATGAAAACTACCAAAAAAATAAATTAAATAAATTGTCTTAGCAAGAGGAGGCAGGGCCTCCTGTAAAAAGACAGATGCATAGGACAACATTAGCTAGTGCTGTGCATGGTAATTTGACGATGCTGGGTTTTGCATTGTCTAAGTAAGGAAAGGGAGTCCAATATTAATTCAAGTACCAGTTCCCAGGAACTCAGAAATCCAGAGGGTCTTAGAGCACTGGTTTTTTTTTTTTTTTCAGAGCTCCCACAACATTAAAACAAGACAAAGAACTACCAAACACATGGTTACAAAAATTGTGGGATGTTTTAAAATATTTTATGTTTAATAAATGAATAACTTACACACAAACATAACAATATGTAGACTATTAGGGGTTTAGGATTTGTGTTGTTAAATGAGCAACACAGAGAGAGTGGTTCAATGCTGAACCCAAGTTTAAAATTGTGTAATTGAAAACAAAATCCTTTTTCTTCTTTTCCCAATCTTATCAGTCTATCTCTGTGACCATGTGTATAACCTTATTTGGTGATAACATCAAAAGCCTCCCCCATGTTCCTGAGAGCTCTCAGGAAAAGTCCCTGCCTTAACTTAAACACCAAGGAACCCACCTGTCTAGTTTTTCTACTTAGAGGCTGAGTTCCTGTTTCTTAAGGCAGTGGGTTTTAAAGATGTGGATGAAAATCCATTTACATATCTGATAAAAGCTCTACTCCTTAATTCCTCCCACTCCCAATGTGCACAGACAAAAGCAATTAAGTGTAATTGGGGGATGGAGACTAGCTATCCCCTTAAATCCAGCCAAATATAGACTAGGCTCCAGGTTAAGAAGTCTTCTCTCCACTAGAACTGTATTACTTCTCCATGAAGCCAGGAGTCAGGGTTTGAAGGCTGCTAGAAGCTTGGAATGAATGCGTTGATTTGGTGCTGGTGGCGGGAATGGTAGGAGGAATGCCTGCACTGGTACTTAGTGAGCAGGAAAGGCACCTCCAAAAATAAAGGACCTGGAGCTTGGTACCTATGGCTGCCCCGGAGGCCACCCCCTCCGCGTTGCCTGGCAACAGAGCTGCGCTAGCCGCCCTGCGTTAGCTGGCCCTTGTTCTCCTCTCTCGTTACCCCTCCCCGAGGGCGGTGGAAACCGCTACTCGGGTGGCCGGCTCTCTTCCCGCTTTAAGGAGACATCGAGGTTTGAACCCAGGTCCCTGGCCAGAGATAATCTCGCCAGTGTGTGAAGGACCTAGTCAAAGACATGCAGGTGGGCATAGCAGATGCCAGCAATCCTGGGGCACCTGGTGGGGTCCTGGACTGAGGCTGAAAATGAGTGAGAAGGGCGGTTCAGAAGGTTTAGGTTCTAATGTTTGTTCTTGGTAGGCTAAATTTTGCGTGGGTCTCTGTCAAGCTTTGAGGGAAATCCGAATTTCCTCTTGGAGAATGCCAGTTTTTCATCACTCAAGACTTTGGAAGTGTTCAGAATTATTTCACACCTGAATCCTGGAAATCTTAACTGTGGCACTATTTCTGGACTAAAGACATAGACTAGCAAATTCAGCTCAAATGTAATTTAAGTATCCTGCCCCATTACCTGAAAATAAGATCAGATTGGAAACCCTAGTAGTTGACCAGCTGTTCCTGGAGTTTATCTTATTCGATCACAAATATGTTAGCCCGCAAATTTGATGGGCAAACTTGTATTTATTCTTTAGATGTCTACCTACCCCTTTGTCTAAAGCTTCCTTAATAACCAGAAACCTGTGCTTTTCTTTCATTAGCAGACTTGTGAATACAGAAACAGCTTTTTCCTACCTGTTCCCCAAACTAAAGCCACTGTTATTTTTCTGGTTTTATATATTTAATTTTGGTATTTGTATATACTGTATAATTTATTAGGAAATTTTGAAAATAAGTTATATATAATTTTTAATAGATTGTACTTTTGTGTGAGTAATGGATTCTTACCAAGAACACTTTATCCAGTGTGTAAGAAATTGCAAATTTGTCCTAAATTGCAGCATTTTTCAAGAAATGGGCTGAAATGTAATTTAGAATGAAGGAATAGTACATTAACCTTTACTTATTTATTCATTGATTTATTCAACTGTCACTCAGTGCTTGCTGATGCTTCACTAGTCCCTAGTTCTGAAAGAGCTTAATATGGGGAAAAGAGAGAGAAACCTATAATAATTTGTGGCATGATAAGTTCCAGAATAGTTTAAAATAGCTTGTAATTACTATTCCTATTAAATAAAATTTCATAAGTAATTTGTAAAAATAAAGAGGAGATGGAATATAGTGTTTACTGTCATGTTATATCCCATTGCAATTAACTCCTAAATCAGTAAAAAAAAAAAGCAGTCAGGGAGGTAGAAACACAACTGTAAAAATGCAGTATCATGTATATCAGGAAGAGTGTTTTAACAAGAAAAGCGTGACTAACTCTCTCCAGTTGTGCTTAAGCAATTGATCAATGAATGTACATTGATATTAGCAACATTGCGCTCACAAGTGGCCTTAATCAGAACAGTTTTGAATGATTTATTGGAGGCAGAAGCCAACTTTGGGGATAGGTTGCAGAGTAGATGGGAGTGGTTAAAGCATAAAAAGATAGTTCTTTTAAGAAGTTGGTCTATGAAGGAGTAAAGGGAATAGTAAGATAGCTGAACTGCTGGCATGGCTTTTTAAAAAGGTGCATGCTGGAATTTCCGTTAATAGTGGGCTAAGTTATTTGGCTCAACTCTCCTGTCAAATACAAGTAAGAATGCTGGCTAGACTGTAAAACACAGCTCTATAAAAGCATCAAAGGAGTGGCGCAATAGAAGCTATCAGACCAAAACTGAAGGGAAAACCAGGTGAATGGATTTCCAGAGCTCCAAAGTAATTTTACCTTGAGGGTATTAGCAATCTGCCACTTGGTTCTGGGTGTGATTATAGGCTGAGGAGGAAACAAAGCGTAGGTCCACCAAAGGATGGGAGACTAATAGGAGTATGAACCAGAGATAAACTCTTATTTAGAGGAATGTAGGGGAAGGTTATCTTGATGCTTAGTGGAGCAAGAGAGAAAACAGAAAAGGAATAAAATCTGCCCTTTAGAATTGTGACCCAAGACAGGTCTCACATTGATTTACAACCTAAGGCATATTGTCTGGAAATGCCTTGAGGCATCCAGGACACCTCAAACTATGGATTTTTAATTTTGTTTTTCCTGGAATGCCTGGAGGAAACAAATTGTCTATGGAGGTACACTCTTTATCTTAGGCCTCAAAGAATTACATAAGTTTTCAAGGACAGCCTGTAGTAATCAATCAAAGTAACCAGCACACAAGGAAACAGGGTGCCTGAGCCAACAACAAGAATCTACAACAGAGAAACTTGCGGAGACTTCAGTTTTCAGAATGATCAGAAAACAGGTTATTTAAAAAGTGATGCTGGGCAAAACACAGCTCTCCTGCCCACCTGTGATTATGCGGGTACCTCTTTTTTTTCTCATTTTCCTAATAAACCTGTCCTTTTCAAATGTAAAAATAAATATAAGTCATGTTTATTATAATAGATTAAAATAATAATACTTAGGAATAAGTAAGGAAGCAAAAGACTTATACACTGAAAACTATAAAATACTGCTGAATGAATTAAAAACATAAGTAGAAAATAATTTTACATGCATGGAATGGAAGAGTTAATATTGTTAACTTGTGAACACTTCCCAAAGCAATCTGGAGATTAAATATAATCTCTACCAAAATCCTATGATGATTTTTTGTAAACAGAAAAATGCATCCAAAAATTCACATAAAATCTTGAGGCTCAAAATAGTCAAAAACAATACTAAGTATGGTGAACAAAAGTTGAACATTTAAAGCCTTTATAACTAAACATACTCTTACCATTTGATCTAGCAATCAAGCTCCTTGGTATACCCAAAGGAGTTGAAAACGTATCCAGACAAAAACCTGCACTTGGATAATTATAGCAGCTATATGTGTAATTGTCAAAAATATGGAAACAACCAAGATTGCTTCAGTAGGTGAATGTGTAAGTAAACTGTGGCACATCCAAGTAATGGAATATTATTCAGCACTAAAAAATTATCAAGCCATGAAAAGACATGAAGAAAACTTTAAAACTTAATACTAAGAAGCCAATTCGAGAAGACTACCTGCTTTATAATCCCAACTATATGGTATTCTGGAAAAAGCAAAACTATGGAGACAACACAAAATCAGTGATTCACCATCCAATGTCTAACATATAATAACAATTAGACAAACAAAATTAAAAAAGGCTAAATATGTGAACCATATTCATGATCATGATATCTCCCCTACCAGGTAAGTATATCATATTCTAAAGTAAAATTGTCAATAGAAGCTGATCCTGAGATTATTCAGGAGTTGACATTAACAAACAGAGAATTTAAAGCAGCTACTATAAATATATTCAAGGATTTAAAAGAAGATGAATTGACAGATGGAGATTCTTAGTGGGGAAATAAAAACAGTAACAAAAAATAACCTAATGGAAACTCTAGAACTGAAAGATCAACAACAGGAATAAACTAATTGAATGGACTTAACAGCAGATGGGAGGTAACAGACTTGGGGAAGTTATACATCCATGGAAAAATATGCAGTTTGAAGAACAGAGAAACTATTGAAGATGAACACAGACTCATGGGCCTGAAGGGACACCATTAAGTGGACTAACATACATGTAACTGGAATCCTAGAAAGAAGAAAGGCATAGGACTGAAAAAAATTAAATAAATAATAGAAAAACTTATTTAAATTTTGAGGGAAGACATAAGTTTAAAGATCTCAGAAGTTCAGGAAATTTCAAAATGGGCAATTGCAAATAAAACCACACCAAGCATACTTGGGTACAATGTTAAAGTCTGTGGATAATATCTTGATATATTACATACAGGAGAATAGTAATATGACTGATGACTGATTTCTCATCAGAAACAGTGAAGGCTAGAAGCCTTTAAAATGCTTTATTGCTCCAAGGGTGAAGTCTCATGCCGCGGACCAGCACAGCAGTAGACGATGAGGCCGTCTCAGGGCTGAGAGACTGCGCAGGGTGGTCAGGGATTCGGCTAAAGAAATGACAAACAGACACACTTCAAGAGAGAGTGTAAATCTGAGTGCGTCTTTATTAAGCTAGTGGTCAGTATATATATGTTTTTCTAAAGGCATAGGAACAGTGAACATCAAAGAGATCAGTTTGCTCATAGACTTAGCTTAATTGACAGGGCAGTGATTTATGTCCGAAGTTACATCTGGACCTAGCCTCATTCCTAATTGGACAGGCTATAAATTCTTTCTACTGTTCTATATAATTATTTTCTAGTTGCACTAACTATCATTTTTACTCATAATTAATTGTCATGGGTGAATTTATTTTATAATGCAGTTAATATCAAAGGTACTAAAGTTAAGCACATAATAGAAAGATTATTAAAATAACAATTCTATTATAACACAGTGTTTAGTAATGTTTCATTTGCATTAGCCTAATTATTAAATTACGTATGTTTTTTAATTAGCAATCAATGACCAGAAAAAGGAAAGATTTTAGAAAGACAGTTGTAGCAGAATAAAGTTTGTGGGCCTTGAAAAAGCGAGATAAGGTTCCAGGTGGTCAGCATTTCTTTTAATCATCTTTGTGGCTGCTTTTGGTGGTCATTATCTCTTGGCAGGCATTCAGTTTCTCTGCATCTTAGGGAGTTTGCTGTTCTCCCCCTGCGCGCATGGTTCCTTGCCCACGCCGGACCTCAGGGACCATGGCAACAGCCATTAGCCCTGAGGGTCACTGCAGGGGGGGGGGGTGCAGCAGTCTCAGAATTCTATATTCAGCTAAAAAGAAACTATATTAGACAAATTTCTATGAAAATATTCCTAGCCTTTTCTATCATTTAACCTATGAGTGAGAGTCTCAGGAAGCTATGCAACTGAAAAGACAAGCAAATTCACCTGGACATTTTTTTTTTAAGATTTATTTATTTATGCATACAAGAATTAGGGTACAGGCTAGTGGTGCGGGGGGGCGAGAGGATTCACCAGAGACAGAGTGGGGAGCAGAACAGGCAGATTGACTGAAATACACTGCTGAGGGGAGCAGCGGGCGAGACAGGAGAGGTCTGCTGTGCCATGTGGGTAGCTCCCTGGCCTGCTGGGGATTGAACTCGTGCTGCAGTGGCTGAGAATAGCTTCACAGTGCTGTGCTTAACCCCTTGTTGCAGCAGGGAGGAATTCATGTGGAGATCTTGAATAATTATGTAGAAAAAGAAACAAAACAGTACTTGTGCATGATGTGAATTGGTTTCACTTTTCTGTGGCTTATGAGTTTATTTCCACAATATTTGATATATGTGCTCTAAACACCTCAGTGTACATTTGAGGTTAGAGGATGAATCCTATTTATAAAAATATGTAGTTTTAGAAATGCTGGGAAATGTGAAAAAGTATTAATTTTTACTACTTTTTAAATTACTAATTTACATTACTAATTTTTTTTAATTAATAGAAACTAGTTACCTGTAGAGTTCATGAACAATTGCAACTGGAGATGCTACATATCAGTAAATTTTACAAGAATATATTAACATGTGCAACTGTTAATAGGTGCCTTTTTTTTTTATAGGATCCAAATGAAGATACAGAATGGAATGAAATCCTAAGGGATTTTGGTATTCTTCCACCAAAAGAAGAGCCGAAAGATGAAATTGAAGAAATGGTTACACGTTTACAGGAAGAAGCAATGGGTATACTTGTGAATTTGCTGGGCTGGGTGAGGGGAAAGTCATAGCTATGATATTATATTTTCACATAGAGGGAGAAAGGGCATTGGAAATTGTTTAATATAGGGCCTCCTTGATGGCCTAGGGGTTAAGTCTTAGCTCTATTACCGCTACAGCCTGAGACAGATCCCCAGCCATGGAGGTGACCCACATGGCATAGCAGACTCCTCCTGTCTCACCCGCTGCTCCCCTCAGCAGTGTATTTCAGTAGATCCACCTGTTCTGTTCCCCTCTTTGTCTCTGGTGAAGCTTCTCATCCCCCACACCCCAGTTCTTCCATGCATATATATATATATATATATATATATATATACACTAGTTACCTGTAGAGTTCATGAACAATTGCAACTGGAGATGCTACATATCAGTAAATTTTTTAAATTAATAGAAATATTAATAAATATCACATACTAGTTAATAACAGCTGAAATATCCTGGTATCTAACCTACCGAGCTTTTTCTTCCCACCACATTCTTGTAAAATGTAACTACCTACTCTTTTGATCATTTTACATAGTATGGGTTATTTGTCAAGATTTTAAATTAAGATAGCTACTTGGGAAAATCTGAATTTGTGGGATATAATTGATTTTTTACATCTGCTTCTAAATGTTACCTAGTAGTTCTATGAACTCTGAGGGAATAATAATAATGTTACAGTTTTTCCAATATAAAGCTATTTTGTGACTGACTAGGTTTGTTTAAAGATATTCCTGGTCTCCATTTAACTAATATGTTGTTTTTCTAGATGCTATCATAAAGTCTATTTTACAAATAAATTGTCTATAATTTATTTTGTGTTAGTTAAACCATATGAAAAGATGACTCTTAAACAATTGAAGGAAGCTGAAGATGAATTTGATGATGAAGATATGAGAGCTATTGAAATATATAGGTACAGTAATTCATTTGGGTAACATGAGTTTAAATGAAGAAAATTGTAAGAACGAAACTAAAAAAAATTTTTCTTTTCAGAATAGATTTTAAAGAACAAAATTATTTTTAAGTAACATTTTAAACTAACTTGCTTTATATAAGATAGTTTTCTCAGAATATTTTTACCTTGCTTAAGTAAAAACTTATTCAATAATATACAGTAAAATTTCTTCAAATTCCATATGAACAATGTGGAAAATATCAATAAAAGTCCAATAAAAAGAGGGTCATGATTTTCCTTCTTGCAAGATCTCTCTCAAGGGTTGCTATCATTTCTTTTTTTTTTTTTAATTTTTTTTTTTATAGAGGCATGTTTTATTTTTATTTATTTATTTATTTGTTTGTTTTGTTTATACATGCACTGGGTACAGTCAGAAGCGCGGGAGGGTGAGAGAATTCACCAGAGCCAGAGCAGGGAGCAGAGCAGGCAGAAGGACCGAAGTACACTGCTGAGGGGAGCAGCCGGCGGCAGGAGAGGTCTGCGCGCCATGCGGGACCCTCCTCTGGTGGCCGGGGAGCAGCCGGGGATCGAACCGGCGCTGCAGAGGCTGCGGGCAGCTTCGCAATCCAGCGCTCAACCGCTGCACCACCAGGGAGGCCCTGCTATCATTTCTTGAAGCATTAATTCCCATTCAGAAATAAATTCGTTTAGAATTACAGTAAATGCGTGTATTTTCTAACTTATCCTAACAGTAAAATCAGATAAAGTATTGCAAAAATAGAATGCTAAAGAAAAAATATCCCTTATGAAGAAAGACACAAAAAAGATCTTAACAAATTATCATCAAATTAAGTCCAGGGAATCCTTGGTGGCTCAGAGGTTAAGTCTCAGTGCTGTCAAGCTTTTGCCAGCCACTGCAGCATGAGTTTGATTCCGGTCAGGGAGCTAATCCACATTTGCAGCAGACCTCTCCTGTCTCATCCACTGCCCCCCTCAGCAGTGTATTTCAGTCAATCTGCCTGTTTTGTTCTCTACTCTGTCTCTGGTGAATTCTCTCACCCCCCACATCTCTGATCTGTGTCCCAGCTCTTATATGCATAAATAAATAAATATTAAAAAAAAAAAAAGACAAACCTTGCAAGCTGACCACAGATCTGAGGCATACAGCAAGGGAGATGGAGGGAGGGAGATCAAAATAGTGGTGCCACAAGGGACTATAGTGATGGATCATGGGTGCTATGGTTATAGAGAAACTACAGGGACTACATCTGAGGGAAAAAAATCAAATACTGTACAAAAATGAACAACGATGTAAGAAAATTAGTTTTAAAAAATCACCCTTAATAAGAATATCAGCTAATTTTTCATCAAAAATTCTTGGAGATCAGAGGCATGGGCTGATACATTTAAAGTTCAGAAAGAATAAAACCTCTCAACCAAGAATTCTACATCTGGCAAAACTATGCTTCAGTGTGCTGGAGAAATTAAGATATTCCTAGATAAAAACTAAGTATGGTAGTTATTACTAGACTTACCCTCAAAAATTAGCTGAAAGGAGCACTTCAGGGTGAAATTATTATTATTTTTAAATGTTTATTTTATTTTTATTCATACAAGAGCTGGGGTACAGGTCAGAGGTGCAGGGGGGTGAGAGGATTGACCAGAGACATAGTGGGAACAGAACAGGCAGACTGACCGAAGTACACTGCTGAGGGGAGCAGCGAGTGAGTCAGGAGAGGTCTGCTGTGCCATGTGGGCTGCTCCCTGGCCGGAGATTGAACTCATGCTGCTGTGGCTGCGGTTAGCATCATAGGTTGCATCTTAATCCCTTGTACCACCAAGGAAGCCCTTTAGGGTGAAATTAAAGGATGCCAGACAGTAGCTCAAAGCTGGAGAGTACAATTGCTAGAACATGCTTAGTATAAGAAACCTCCAAACTGTCTTACAAAGGTTGTACCATTTTGTTTTTATTATTTTTATTTTTTTTTTATTTGGAAGGACAGGTTTAATAGGGTTAAGAGAAAGGGCAAGAGAGGGTCACCTGCGTAGTCACAGGTGGACAGGGAGCTGCCTTTTTTCCCTTTTTGCATCTTACCTTCAACAAATGAGAGTTCTTGTTGCTTCACATTCTCACCAGCATTTGATATTGTCAGTGTTATAGATTTTGGCCGTTGTAATAGGTGTGTAAAGTTCTTTTGTTAACTCTCACTATTCCAATGACATAGATTTGGAAACTCTTTTCATATTGTTTTATGGCCTGGTAAAGCTAAGCCCCGCATTCCCTGGCCCCTCAGGGCAACAAGCACAGCCTTCTAGGCTGGGGACAAATGAGGGACCAAAATCTGCCTAAGCCAGATACTGCCTAAGGCGGAGGGGGCAAGACCTACACAGTGCCATGGCCTGAACTCCACCATGACATTTAGAGAGAGGGGCCTATTAGGAAGGGGGTGGAGCTGAGTGGCCATTTGAGAGCCTTTAAGAGGGATCCCACATATATGGAGCTCTTTTTTTTTTTTTAAGATTATTAATGCATACAAGAATTGGAGTACAGGCCAGAGGTGTGGGGGGTGAGAGGATTCACCAGAGACAGAGTGGGAAACAGAACAGACTGAAATACACTGACTGACTGAAATACACTGCTGAGGGGAGCAGTGGGCCAGATAGGAGAGGTCTGCTGTGCCATGTGGGTAGCACTCTGGTGGGCTGGGGATTGAATTTCTGCTGCAGAGGCTGCTGATAGCTTCACAGTATTGTGTTTAAATCCTTGCACCACCAGGGAGGCCCTATGCAGCTCTTGTCTTCAGAGCTGCTGCAGACATCAACCATTTCACTGGCTGGCAGGGGGGCAGGTCTCTGCCCTGGGAGATGGGAGAGCCTCAGCAGTGGCAGACCTCTGCCCCACCTAATTCCTGGAGATGTAGCTCTACGTGGCACCAGCTGATGGTATCTTGACCTATTCCCTCTCCTTCTACCCTGCTATTTCTCCCTCAGCAACTAAATCAAATATGTAAAATTTGAAAGTTTAACAGAGTTTTAAGGTTCTCTATGAACAAATAAACAGGTAACATCAAGTACTCACAGTGTCCAGGCACCATGCTTAGGAATTTACATGTACTATCTCATTTAATCACCAGCAATCCTGTGTAAGAAGGTATTAGTATATTCCCAGTTATGGCTGGGGAAATTGGAGCTTAGAGAGATTAAATAATTTATCCAAGTTTACATGGCTAGTAAGTGGTGGGGCTGGCATTTAAGCCCAGTTCAGTTTGACCTTAGCATCCAAGCTCCAAGCTCTCTCTACTTGCAATAAATTTATAACAACAAATTGCACATCTTCATAAAATCTTTGGGATGCAGGTCAGCTTAGAAATGTAGTTAAGAGCATGTAATGGGGATAGTAATAGTACCAACTTAATAATAGTTAAATTAGTTAACACAGTGCACTTAAAACAGTGCCTGGCAACATAGTAAGCCCTCAATAAATGTCAACTACTGTTACTAATATGTATATTTTCCCTTAGTAAGTATTTAATTTGCATGTGAGAATTGTTCTGCCAAATGTCTACATAAACTTTCCATATCAATAACTAAGACCTACTCTTAATATAAAATAAATTTTAAAACCAAAAATAATGTAAGCCAATGTTACCACAATTAAAAAAAAACACCTAAAATTAAAAAATAAACGTTATAGTCAATAGCTAACTTCTTATACTTTATGATACCCAAGAAAACACAAATTCCTACGTAAAAGGGAAATTGGCATTATAAAACCATTAATAGTTATTCTATTATTCTTTAAAGTGTTTGATATGTACTGGCATTACATTCATTGCCCTAAATATGGGAATAGCATTAAGAATATAACAATTTCCTAATGTAATTTAATTTCATTTCTTAATTAGAGAAAAACGGTTACAGGAATGGAAAGCTCTTAAGAAAAAACAAAAGTTTGGGGAATTAAGAGAAATATCTGGAAATCAATATGTGAATGAAGTCACAAATGCAGAAACAGATGTGTGGGTTATAATTCATCTATACAGATCAAGGTAATTACTACAGCATTTTCTCAAAATACTAATATACTTATACTTTAAAATACATGTTTCTGGTTTCAAGGTTTTAAATATAATGAAGACTACTCAAAAAATATAAACATATGCACACACATATATGTACAATGCATAAGCTTCAGGCATTAAATTAGGTATTTTAAGATATTTTCATGTCTAATTTAAGGAACTCATCACATTTTTTAGAAAAACAAACACTTATTGACAATTTTTTTTAAAGATTTATTTATTTATTTATACAAGCACTGGGTATAGTCAGAAGCGCTGGAGGGTGAGAGAATTCACCAGAGCCAGAGCAGGGAGCAGAACAGGCAGATTGACAAAGCACACTGCTGAGGGTAGCAGCGGGTGTGGCAGGAGAGGTCTGCGCACCATGTGGGACTCTCGCCCTGCGGCCGGGATCGAGCTGGTGCTATAGAGGCTGCAGGCATCTTTGCAGCCCAGCACTCAACTGCTGCGCCACCAGGGGAGACCCGACAATTAACTTTTAAAACAGATTATGGAAAATTTCAAACATAGAAAAACAGTGATAAAATGAACACCTGAAGTGCACATAGGGTAGATTCAACAATGATTATTTTGCCATATTTTTTATCACTTTATGTTTAAAGAATTTCAAAGTAAAGTATGCAAAGCATGACATTCTACTGCTAAGTATCTTTGTGTATGTCTTTAAAACATAAGGTCATCTTCTATTTAATCACAATTCCATTTCCTTACCTAGTATAATTAAAAATTCCTAAGAAACGCTAATATCCAGTCCTTACTCAAATGTTCATAACTGACTTCAAAATGTATTTTGTAAATATTTGTCTTTTTGAACAAGGTTCCAACCAGGAACATAAAGTGCCTTTGTAATATTTTACAAAATTAAATTACATAAGAAAATTATAATTTAAGTCTTTTTTGACAGAACAGGTTCCTCACACTCCCTTATACTGAAATAAAAGCAACACTGAAAAACAAAACAAAAATCTAACATTGAAAAAAAAACTAACACTAAAAAACAAAACAAAATTTTAAAGTGCCTAGTTGTATTAAGCACACCCCAATGTCCTCTGGCTTCACCAGCCTATTATAACAATGATTGTGGAGAGGGGCCTTTTCCCCAACTGTGCCAAAGAGGAGTTGTGAGCTCCTAGAATTTTTAAAACTCTCATAACAAACCTCAGTAGTAGCCCTCTAGTCCTTTGGAGACCACATAAGATTTTCATGCTGAGCTCCCTTTGCCAGCAGGGATTGTTATAGGACAGGGAGAGGGGCAGCCCAAACCCCGCAAACCTGCCTATTCTACATGGGATCTGCCATCCGCCGCATCAACACAAAACATAGGAGACTTTAATGGGAAGGAACTTTAATTAAACTAGGAAACAATACAGGTAAGGCAAGGAGTCTAGTTTCTAAATGAACCATCCAGAGTTACCCGTCCCCTCGTGGGTAAAAGTCCATCCAAATGGGATTGGCCCAGAACAAGGCCCCAAAGCCTGCCACAAGTCTAAAGCATCTTCCAGTGGGGACCCACAGAAAAGGGTCACAAACAACCAGACAAGCCTGGAAGGAAAAGAGCAAAATCAACATCAAGATAAAAGCTGCCATTGTCACCTCCCCACGGGTCTCACCCACATCTGTGTCACCCAGTCCACGACCAAAAGACGAGCGCAGTTTCTTCACGTGTCTCTAGGCTCCATGCGCCTCCTCCAGGTCTCCTTGCTCCATCCTGCTTCCTTCCTCAGTCTCTTCTGCAGCTTCTCCTCTTCCTGCTTAGCTCCACCCTCCCTTGGGTGGGGCAGGGAACATGGAACCTCCCCCTTTCCTGGGGACCACCCTGTTACAGGATGACCTTGGGGAATGAAGACTGGAAACAAAGATATTTTGGACAATTTGTTGTAGTTCAGATAAGAAAGGAAAAGAGTAAGGCAATGGAGAGAGAAGATAGATATAAGAGGTAGAATCACAGTGACTTGACTACTGCTATTATTAGGGGGAAAGTATGTTCTGAGCTAATCCCATGCAGGCTTTGTGGACCCTACCCCCACTCCAGACCAAGGCCATCAGGACATTGGGAAAGACAAATCCCGTCACCACCAAAGGGAAGGTGGCTGGGACCTGAGGGTGGAGTTAAGCAGCCAGGTTGGGTATAAAAACCAAACGTGGGCCTTGGGGTCTCTATCTCTGTCTCCTTCCTCCTGGCTTCACGGCTCCTGGCTCGCGGCCAGCTCTCAGAGTGCCATTTGGGATTCCAGATCGGTGGATCGGGTAGGACTCATTTAAAACTTTGTCTCCCACTTTTCTCCCTGAGTTGTACATTTCCTCATTTGCCCTTCCCTTGTAAATAAACCTTTCATTAACCTTTTGTGTGTGCCTGCAGTAGAGTACTGATAAGTCCTTTTAAGCGCGCGGGTGAGGACCCACAGTCAGGCAACCCGTTTTGTATCGGGGCTGCCCTATAACACTTAGACATGGTAAAGGAGAAGTGGGGGGGTTGGGCCTGAATGCCAAGCAGATTTTTTTTTCCGGCCAGATTGGAAGGGATATGAAATTCATCATCTATTTATCAATATATCAGAATGGAAAAGATTGTCCAGTGAATGTGTGTAGAATGAGAGGAGAATCCAGAACATAATCGCAAAGAACATCTCTATTGGAGGCATAAATAAAGGAAATCAAAGAAGTAAAAAGGAAATTAATAGAAAGCGTTATCACTAGAGTGAGAAACTTTCAAGAAGGAAGGTGAATGCACAGATTTTTATTATCTGGAAGGGAACAGAAGAAGAGAGTAGTTATTAGAAGGGAAGAGAGTTATCAAACACATTTTCCCCCCTTTACTTTATTAAGAAATATATTTGTGTAAACTTTAGAAGGAAAAATTGAGAAAACAGGAGAAAAGGGAAGCAGAATTACAGAGAAAGGCCTTGTCAGAAAAGCAAGGATTTGGGAAAAAATGAAAGGAATACTTTTGTAACACTTTGGTAAAACTGTCCGTGAGTGATAGTTTGAGGGACGAAGGGAACAAAAAATGAGGATAAGGGGAGATTAAGTGATACAGCAGGAAGAACTGCAGGTTTGGGTTAAACTTCCATTCAATTTTAATTTCTAGTAAGGAGTAGTTCTGGATAACGGGGAGCCTCTAGACTGGCCCAGACTGAGATGTCAGTGAAAGGTGTGGGTGAATTTAGAGTTAGGAAAGTCAACGGAGTTTGAGACCAGCAACTCCTGATGTCATAGTTTAATGTGGAAATGTTAGCAGGTGGGCTGAGGGGCACCCTTGGACCCCCAAACCTGACTTCTGTAAATGGGTTCTGCCATCTACCACATAAAGACAAAACACACTTAGTACAAAAGAACGTCACTAGAAAAAACTGTAACAGACTTAGTGTGCATATCAGAGAGAGAGAAAGGAAAGAAAGGATATAGTTTCCCATTGCAACACCCAGAGTTACCCACCCCCTCATGGGTAAATGTCCAACCAAACAGCGTTGGCCCAAAGTAGGGCCACTGAGGCCTGAGAGCTTTCCACAAGTCTAAGGCACTTCCTGGTGGGGAACCTGAGGAAAGAGGCAGAGGGCACCGGACAAGTCTGGAAGGAAAGGAGCAGAATCAAATTCAAAGCCTGCCATTATCAGCCTCCCCATCAGTCTCACACCTTCCAAGTGTCTCTTTCCAAGTCCCAAACCCTGGGGCAAGTCCAAAACCCACAAAGAAGTGCAGCTTCTTCACTTTACTCCAACTTCTTCACTTATCTCTGCTGTTTGTGCCTCCTCCAAGTCTTCACCCTTCTAGTCCTTTCCAGCTTCCCATCAGTTGCTCAGCTCCACCCTTCAATAGGTGGTGCAGGGAAGTCGGGGAACCTCCCCATTTTCTATTACACTGTTACAGAAATAAACCCACAATGATGACAAGAGTCGGAATTCTTTTGTTTCCCTAAGAATTGCCAAGAATTCTGAGATGTGTCCTATTTTTGCTTTACTCTTTCTATGTCCTACAAACTGAATACTGGCTTGAATTAAGTGGATGTGGTCAGGGTGCAAAGGAAATCATCCCACAACCTTTTGAGTTTTTCTACTTTGCCAAATAATCAAACAAGCCTTGGATAGACAGATAAGGAAAAACCAAAAGGAGTTTAATATGTTTACCTCCTGGATACATGTGAGAGACCCTACAAGACTAAGGAACTTGCCCACCACTGTAGCTTCAGACATCATCTTAAATAGCTTAGCTAAGACAGGGAAATTGGGGATGAAAGGTAAGGCCAATTCAGGTTAATGAAGAAGCACTGTAGATAAAGTTAACAGATTAAGTCTTGCCTTCTTTTGAAAAGAGATAAGCAGATTAGGTCTTTCCAGGACACACCCTTACAGATTGTCCTTTTTCAAAAGCAGCCTCCACCCAGTCTTTAGAACTCTTCCATACAGCACCTTTTTGCCAACAAGACATATTTTTGGGTAGCAGATTTTTTTTCTCTATGTTAAGTAAGTCGGTAAGTATCGAATTCCTATAGTAGCAAGCTTTATTCCCAGGCAATGATGATGTTTGTAATAAAAATAGAAGACGACACAATTCATCATTGCTAAAGGTAACAACTATCAGTTAGAGGATGCTAACTGATATACTCATTTAAAAGAATTAAAGATAAAACCTTTCTTTTGGAGATGTTTTATTTCTTTGTTAGACTGATATAACTAGTCTGATTTATAAAGATAATGTGTATATTATTTCTCTTTTTAGCATCCCAATGTGTTTGTTGGTTAACCAACATCTTAGTCTCCTAGCAAGAAAGTTTCCAGAAACTAAATTTGTTAAAGCCATCGTGAATAGCTGTATTCAACATTACCATGACAATTGTTTACCAACAATTTTTGTTTATAAAAATGGTCAGATAGAAGGCAAATTCATTGGAATTACAGAATGTGGAGGGATAAACCTTAAACTGGAAGGTAATTATGTTATATTAAATACTTGCTGATAAAAAATATAAAAACTTCCGAAAATATTATAAAAGTTTACTGCTATAAAATTTTTTCTTCTTGCTTCTCGCATGCCTCCAGATTAATTTTCCTACATTAATACTCATACCACATACTTATTTAAATTCTTACTTGTTCCTGATCCCAAATAAATAAAAAATTCAGAATGCTCTGCTTGAGAATTTCAGCCCACCTATCCAACTACATTTCTTAGTACTTTCTACTGTTTATCCCAGTGAGGCTGGTCTTTACTTACTATCCTAGACACACCTTACTCATTTATGCTTTTATACTTTCTTTTCTCTTTCCCTGTACGTGAAATAGCCTACTCTTCTTTATTCTCATAAACCTATCTGTTGTGGCTCTCCTCAGTTTTCATTTATCCCATTAAGTGATCCTAGACAATTTCATGCTCCACCTTCCTCTTCTCTACTGAATTTCTATAGCATATATTTTCTATACAATGTATTTTTAATTTATCCGCATACTATCTGATTTTGTTGGTTAATCAATTCCCTTTGTTTCCCTAACAAGTACACAGACCATGCCTTCCACTACTTTCTTTCACAATACATAAGACTGTGTATTTTTACCTTCTTAAATTTTTTTTTACCCCTATCCTAATACCAGATCCTTGGCTTAGTTATTTCTTAAAATTGCTCTAAGTCTACATTACTAAAATCTTTTTATTTTACCATCCAGGTTAAAAACATTATGAAAAGCTGTTCTCAACAGTTTTTCTTTCACTATCATTCCCTAAAACTGTTTTTGGTCTAATTTATGAGATTGCCATACTTTAATTTTTTCAGCATTTCCTCATTTTCCTTCTCCTAGTTTCCAAGGGTTTATTTTTCAGCTTTAACATCATTTTAATAAAAAAAAAGTAATACATAAGAAAACAAAGATATAGCAAACATTTATATAATCATTACCAAACATAACACTGTGAACATTTGTTCATGTTTGCTTCAACTGTTTGTTAGTTACTGTTGAAATAGCATTATAGATATAGCTAAAGTTACCTATATATTTTTTAAAGATTTATTTATTTTATGCATATAAGAGCTGGGGTGTAGGCCAGAGGTGTGAGGGGTGAGAGGATTCACTAGAGACAGAATGGGGAGCAGAACAGGTGGATCTACTGAAATACACTGCCTAGGAGAGGTCTGCTGTGCCATGTGTCAGTGGGTGCAGATAGCTTCATAGTGCTGAGATTTAACCCATGTGCCACCAGGGAGTTACCTATATTTCTATTCCTAGTCCCATTTATCTCTCTGCATCTCTAGAGTTAATTACCATCATGAATAATGTGTTTTGTTTTCTTCCTATTTTTCTCTTTTCTTCCACTTGGGTCCATAGTGCATTATCATTGCACTCACTTTGAGGTCACTGATTTTAATCCTTCATTTGATCTATTTTACTTCCATAGCTTTCTCTAGAGTTCGTGATCTCATTTATTGAGCTCTTTATCTCTTGAATTTCTGTTCTTATTTAAATCTTCAATTTCTGTTTTCTGTTAATTGATTTTATTAGTTGATTCCCCCTTTCTGACCGCCCCCCAATTTCATCTCTTCGATTATCTTTTCTGAGTCATTTTGTGTTCCTTGACTTGCCTTTCTGAGTTCTCTTATATAACTTTGACTTACCTTTCTTGAGTTTTCTTATCTCTGAGTTGCTTTATTATAGTAGTTCTGAACTCTATCTGATAGGGACATATAATTTTCCATCTTCTTGTGTTTGGAGTCTGGAGAGTTGTTCTTTACCTTGTGATATTTTAGTCTTTTGAGTATTTCCATATGCTATATTTTTTGTCTTCCCATTTTGCTACTCAAGGTCTCCATATTTTATTATTGTTACGAATATCTTTAGTGTTTGTTTTTTCCCAAGCTCTTTGATTTGACTTTTTATAACATATTTTCAATCATTTTAAATAGATTAACCATAGTTTCCCTTCTAAGTATAACTTGCTGTATCCAGTTTGTATTTTGACATTGTAGTACTTTTACTGCCATCATATTTATAAAAAACATGATCATTTCCACATTAATTTTATTAAAATTGACTTTTGCCTCATATAAATAAGAAATTTTTCTTTTTGGTTTTCTAAGATTTTTATCTGATTTAATGATGGTTTTTTTGTTGCAGAACTTGAATGGAAGCTAGCAGAAGTTGGAGCAATACAGACTGATTTAGAAGAAAACCCTAAAAAAGGCATTGCGGATGTAATGATATCTTCGATTAGAAACACTTCCATTTATGATGATACTAATAGTTCAAACAGTGATAATGATGATACCAAATAGAAATACATAATAAATAGTTTTAAAGTGTTTGTATACTGATTATTTGCTATTGCCTTTATAATCAATTATCAGAAAATTTATAGATATTATCTTATGTTCATTTTTATATTAGAATTATAGCTTGTCATTTCTGAAACCTTTAGATACTTCAGAATATTAATTTCCTTCAGCGAAACCAGAATTTGTACTGAACTCTTGATATTTTTCTGGGGGTTATCCTTTTTCTGATTTGTGTTGGACAAAATCACAAATATTACAAGTCTTCTGTGTTGCCTCTCACTTCCAAAGAGAACCTGCAATTTCATTTAAGTTAGTAGATTTTAAAGTCTATTATACAGGTGTGTTGAATGAATATACCTAAATTTATGATAATATGCTTTTTCTGTGAAATATGTTACCAATTAAAAAAAAAATCACCCAATAGAAAAATGCAATTTAAAGATTATGAAAAGTACATAAGAAACATCTCCACTCATTGTTTTTAATAATTATTAAAAACAACTCACTATAGTTAGATTCAAACAGTAAAACATGTAAGTTTCTAAATCATGAGAATTATGAGGTTTATCTATGTTTTTATGGTAATCACAGAAAAATTCATCATAGAAAACAGAAAAATAGGGACACTGCAGATATTTTATGTTGGCTTTTAATAAACTACATAATAGTTCAGTAAGATTTTATTCTTCTATTTTGTATTGATGACACATTGTTCTGATTACGGCAGATTCACTGATATTTGTAAGAAAATCTAAACTAAGTTTAAATGCTTAGATTACAAAAATAAATTGGTGATAATTGAGACAGTTTAACATGAAGAATGCTGCTGTTGGGGGCAGGCTGGGATCATAGAGGCTGCAGACAGTGATGAAGTGGAAGGAAAGTGGGATACAGATTTGAGAAAGGCATTGATAATTTATTTTACCAGCTAAGGTAAAATCAAATGCTCTAACTTTAGAAAGAATTAAGAAGCTCCTTTTCTTCTGAGTTAGAAATAAGGATATTTCAAAATACACATCTTGGGACTATAGGGAAGGAAATCTGAGAGGTATACCCAACAGTCTTTATTGTAGCATTATGCACAGATATAAAGTAATTAGTTATACTGGTCTAGCTCTTTAAATTCTCCTTGACAAATGGATGGATATATTCGTAATCCGGATGACAACTGTGGAAATGAAGAGAAAAAGATATGTTATTACAAAATTAAAATATAACTTTAAGGCCATTTAATGCATATAAATATGAACATTATTTTCTCCTCTAAAAGTTCTCCTTCAATGCAATCTTTTTTCATAGTAAATATGTATTTATTTTCTTTTTAAAGTTAAAATTAACAGAGTACTACTAGTAATTAAGATATCCAAATAAAAAGATATGTATTTCCCTTTTAATTCTTAACTAAAATCCACCAGGTGGCAGTAAGATTTTATCCACTAGCACAGTTCATGAAGACTTTAACCTTTTTAAAAAAATCATAAAATTAGGCCTCTCTGGTGGCGCAGCTGTTGAGCGCTGGGCTGTGAAGCTGCCTGCAGCCTCTGCAGCAACGGTTCGATCCCTGGCCGCCGGGTGAGGGTCCCACAGGGCATGGCAGACCTCTCCTGTCACGCCCGCTGCTCCCCTCAGCAGTGTATTTCTTCATTCTGCCTGTTCTGTTCCCCGCTCTGGCTCTGGTGAATTCTCTCACCCTCCCGCATTTCTGACTGTACACAGTGCTTGTATAAATAAATAAATAAATCAATCTTTAAAAAAAAAAAAAAAGTTAAATAAATAAATGTGCTTTGGTGGTGGGAGAATTACCACGACCACACTGTGGGGAGAAATCCTCTACTGTCAAAATATTAACAAGGATGTAAAAAAAAAAAAAAATCATAATATTGGGGACTCCCTGGTGGTGCAAGGGGTTAAGACACAACCTATGAAGCTATCTGCAGCCACTGCAGCAAGAGTTTGATTCCTGGCCAGGAAGCAAGCCACATGGCGCAGCAGACCTCTCCTGTCTTGCCTACTGCTCCCCTCAGCAGTTGATCTGCCTGTTCTGTTCAACACTGTTTCTGGTGAATCCTCTCACCCACCACACCTCTGGTCTGTCTCCCAGTTCTTATATGCATAAATAAATCTTAATAAAAAAATAAAAATCATAAAATTATAGCATGTTAGGGTGGCTGATTGTCATTCCAGCCTGGTTTCTCAAATTTCTCTCTCTTCCCTAGCAAGGACTCATACCTGTTAATACAGGTCAGTACTATTCATATGCTAGTTCATTTATATACTGTCATTTAAGTATGGTATAAATATTAGTTGAAATGTAGGGTACTTGATGTTTTTTATTGTGTTTCCCATCTTATTTAATAAATTTTATTTTATAGGATACAAACTTAAAAGATTTTTTGAAATTGCCAATATTGAATTGTTTTTGACCCACAGAGTGGACATATATTTCAATATATTTTTCTTTATTCTCATTGCCAACCACACGCTCTTGAAAGTCCTTTCCGTACTTTATAGTGTCAAAGTGTGGTCCTAGAATCGGTATTCCCAGAGAGTTTGTTAGCCATGTAGAATCTCTTGCTCCATCCCAAACTGAATTGGAATTCAGTTTGAGTGCACTGAATCACTCAAGTGAATCACTTGCACTGAAATGAAATCACACACTTGAGTGATTGAGCACCAACAGGTAGCAAATCCCTAAAGATGTTTTAAGCATATTCTTTAACGCTTACATTCTCCGTTACTAAAATCTTACTGCTTTAAAACTCTAATCTCAGTTCTAAGGGAAGCATCTATGACTAAGCTGATAGCTTAGGAAAGTGTTTTTTTTATTGTGATGACAACTTTTAAGATCTTCTTTAATAACTTTCAAATATACAATACAATATTATTAACTATAATCACCGTGTATGTTACACCCTCATAATGGTCTTTATTGTAGCATTATGCACAGCTATAATTAGTTATACTTCTAGCTCTTTAAATTCTCCTTGTAATGTAAGTTCACATCTTTGACCTTCACCCATTTTGCTGACCACTCAACCCCAATTCTAGGAATCATCACTATGAGTTCAGTTGTATGTTTCAATTTCCATGCAATAGTGAGAAAATATGGATGGTATTTGTATTTTTCTGTCTGATTTATTTCACTTAGCTTACTGCCCTCAGGTAAATAGACTCATGTTGTCCCATGTCAGAATTTCATAATGCTTATTCCTCTAAATTTGCAGATAAATACCCTGAAGCTCAGAGAAATTATTTAATTTGCTCAATGTCTCCAATTTGCCCAGTAGAATTTAAGTCTAAACTTTTAATTACAAGGTTCATAATGCCATCTCACATTATTGTACTTCCCTCCATTTAAAGGGATCTAGAAAGAATATGAATTTACTAAACCATAAAGTTTTCTTTAAAAATAAAACTTTTATGGCCTCCCAGGTGGCGCAGCAGTTGAGCGCTGGGTTGCAAAGCTGCCCACAGCCTCTGCAGCGCCGGTTCGATCCCTGGCTGCTCCCCGGCCACTGGAGGAGGGTCCCACATGGTGCGCAGACCTCTCCTGCCACCCACTGCTCCCCTCAGCAGTGTACTTTCTGCCTGCTCTGCTCCCCGCTCTGGCTCTGGTGAATTCTCTCACCCTCTCGTGCTTCTGACTATACCCAGTGCTTGTATAAATAAATAAATAAATATTTAAAAAAATTAAAAATAAAACTTATATTCCCTATTTGCATATCTTAAACTTTCCACGTTCCAATTCACTTTTTTTTTTTCAATTCACTTTAAATTATGGTGGTAAAAGTAGCAGTCAGTGAAAGAATGGTATCAGAGGTATTATAAAAAAAACAAGATTTTGTGAATGATGAGAATCTGAACAAACAGATGTAAGAATTATACAAAAAGGAATATAAATTAGTAATAGTCAACATTGAAATGTACTGGGTAGTATTTATGTACTCGGAACTTTTATACTCTCTCCATCCTTTATCTAACTACCTACGTACCTATCTCCTATATATTTACTCTCAATTATCCTGAGATGGGATTGTTGTTATCATCACTTTGCAGATGAGGAAACTCAAAAACAGAAATAACTTGCTGAAAGTCCTGCAGCTATTAGTGACAGGACTGGGATGTAAATCCAGCTATTTTAGTGCTTATTTTGTACACTATGTGATAATTCCTCTATGAAGATATTGACAGGAGAAATCAACTGAGAAGCGAGCTGGAAAAGCTCAGTTTAAATGGTAGCAAAGTATGTAAGAATGAATAGCAGTTGAAATACATAATTTATATTTAAGGAGATTTAGGCTGGGGGACACAAATTTAGGATCTATGAGATGGAGGGAAGATTTTTGTTTTAGGGAAAGTGGAATCTGGAAACTGGAAAAGTTATTAGAAATATCTGAAAGTTTTTCTACTTCGAGAGTGGGGGTAGCAGGAAGATAAGTTGGGAACTGTTGAAGCAATAGCAGAAGACTGAGAAGAAAAATGGTCTTGGTAAATGATTAAAGACAGAAAGTGTGAAAGTAGTCAAAGATGAACATGATCCCAGTGACTAAAAGGGCAATGGACCCATTAAAAAGGGCAAAGGTACTTTTGAAGATAGATGTTCCAGATGATGTACAATTTGCTATGAGGGATCACTTTCTCTAGAATAAAATCCAATCAGCCACATCCTAGGCAAAACATTCAAACCCTCTTGTCTTGACTGCAAACTACCGTGCCACTTCTCTTTTATTTTCAGGATTCATGATTACAAGTGACAGAAAACCTCTCTCTGGTTTAAGCAATAAAACACATGTAAGGATTTATTGACTGAAATGTCCAGTTATCTAGTCCACATTAGATTCAGGACATCTGACATGTTTCCAGGTCAAATCTCCACCTTTGAATTTGCTTTTTTTCCCATGCCTTTTCCCCCCTCAGTATCCATGAATGCAAAGATTCTTCAGGCCTCCATTTTTCCTGATTTAAATCCAGGTTGTAACTCCGGGCTAAGGCAGAGGAGTAACTCAAATATGCTTCCCACTGCAGTGTTGCCTAGGCCATATAAGAGTGAAAAAAGGATAGTTTTCCAAAGGAAATGATGAGAATAAGGAATGAATGCTGAACATGCAAAAAATGTCCACTAAAATTCCTTCTGCTATATGATGGTGTAAGCTAACGAATCATGCTTTTTCACTCTCAAAAGGGGAATAATCCTCATAAGTTCCTCAACTTTGATGTTTTCATTTCAAACATGTGAAATGTTTACCGAAGTGAATATTACCTTGAAAGATTTTACAGCTAAAAGTTATCTTTTTTTAATCTTACATCAGTTAGAATGTTTTTATTTATTTCATTTTTTTTACATCACTTTTCATTTTTGCACAATGTATGCATTTTCATCTAGGTTACAGTCCCTATACAATCCCCCTTTTTCTCCCCACCTCCCCCTTTATGGAAAGCTGTGTGGAGATTCCCCAACCTGCTAAAGATGGAGCTTCCATATGATCCAGCAGTTCCACTCCTAGGTATTTACCCAAAGGACACAGAAACATTAATTCAAAAGGGCACCTGCACCCCTATGTTTATAGCAGCACTATTTACAATAGCTAAGCTATGGAAACAACCCAAATGCCCAAAAATAGATGACGGGATCAAGAAGATGTGGTACATATACACAATGGAATATTACTCAGCCATCAAAAAGATAAACTCATGCAATTTGCAGCAACATGGATGGAGCTGGAAGGGATCACGCTCTGCGAAATAAGCCAGAAAGAAAAAGAAAAATATCGGATGGTCTCACTCATAGCAGGAATTTAGACCTAATTAAGGGACCAGGAAAAAGAATAATTATAACAAAGTAAAAAATCAAAATCAACAAGCAACTGAGAGTTATCTTTTGAAACAAGATGGCTATTTCAAATCCACAGCATATTAAAGACAGGAAAACTAGTAGCAATCAATACTGTCAAGCTCTCCTTCCCAATAACTTACAACTAGGATATGTGTTCTCCCATGTGGCCCAAGGGTGACTTAAGCATCAAGGAAAGTAACTCACCTCTCCCCTTCCCCTTGGCCAGGTTAAGCAGGGGCACTCACTTAGTTCCAATAAAAGAAACCCTACAAATTAGGGTCCAGCTTCGTCTCCACTGATTCCTCGCCCATCTCCCAATATAAAAGTCACCTGGCTTTAACGAAAGGCGCGGGGGGCCTGACCTGTGGCCTCCCTTCACCCACCGCAGGTGAGCAAGACCAGCCTTCCCCACTCCCACCCACCTGTGAGGAGCCACCTCAAGCCCTGCCCATCCTACCACCTCCGCACCCCTCCCAGCCCCGTCAAGGAAACGCGAGCGATGCCGCCTCAAGAGGATAAAGTCTTTCGTTTGCCAACACCCGAATATTGTCCTTGGCGTCAGCAAAGGGATTCTGTTTTCCAGAGCGCGATCCCTCATCCGCAGGAAGCTCCTTCTCCTCCGCCTCTCCGCATCCAGGGCGCGCGCCAAAGCCGCCCCGACCTACCGCTAGCGCTGCCCAGCCCGGCCGCACCCTCCGCCCGACTAGACCCCGCCCCCGCGGCTTTCCAGTAACCGGCGCCGGGCCGGGGGCGCCGAGGCGAGCGCGGCTTTTCTCCGCGCCCGGCGGCGGCCGGGGCCCGCGCGCGCGAGCGGCCGTCCCCGGAGCGCCCGGCTCCCCGGAGCGCGGCTCGGCGCTGCCTAACGGGGCAAGTCGCATGCGCAGCGGGCAGCGCCGGGGAAAGCGAGAGTGAGGGGCGGGGCCAGCGCCGGGCCCGGGCTGCCGTCGAAGCCCGCGGGGGTCACCGACGACGCATGCGCCGAGCGGCAGCGCAATCACAGACTGGACTGGCGGCGGCCGGCCTCAGAGAGGAAACCCCCGAGCGCGGGAGCGCCGAGAGATCTGGCGGCCGACGCGTGCGCGCTCCCGGTGAGTGGCGCCCCGCCGGGTGGGCCCGGGTTTGACGTTTGCCGGTAGGCTCGCCCCGGCGGCGCATGCGTGCTCCCGATGCCGGTGGAGGAGGGGAAGGGAAGGGAGGGGGAGGAGGAGCGGGCGGCTTAGCGGTGAATTTTGGGGGGGTGGGCGGGGGGCGCAACTCAGCCCTCGGTGCGGCTGGTGCTGGGAGCTGCGCTTCTCCCGCGCGCGGCCGGGTCCGTGGCTCCGAGTCTCCGCCAGACTCCGGGGTGGGGGAGAGAAGAAGCCCGAGCCGCCGCCAGCCACACGGTGAGGGCGCGGGGAAGGGGTGGGAGCGGGGGGCGGCGTGTGTGGGGCCGGGGGGCGGCGGCCAAGGCAGGGGAAGGCGGGAGCTGAAGCCCAAGTTTTGCCGTCGCCTCAGTGTGTCTTTTCCCGGGAGTTGCGGCGGAGGCCCGCCCTGCCTGGGGGGCCCCTGAGGGCAGCTGGGGTTACCTGCGGGGCAGGGGCCGGGTTGGGGTGCCCGCCGGGGCCGGGTGGCCCAAGCGCGCCCGCGGGCCGGGGCCGGCTCCTGCGCCAGGTTGGCGGGGACCGCCGGCGCCCCGGTGCTGAGAGGGCTTTCGCCGGGGACCCGCTAGGCCTTGTGACCCACTTTATTCCTGTCACAACTCGGGCACGTTTGGAGCGGCGCCCAATGGGGCGCCGGGGCGGCCAGCTCCTCCGGGGAACCCCCGCCCTCGCGGCGCCCGGCCCGCGCGCCGCGGTCTGCGGTCCGAGCGGCGGCTCCTGCCGCCCGTGGGCTGGTTCCGTTAGTGGCCGCGGTTCCGGGGCTCGGTCCCTGCGGAGCGCGCGGCTCGGCGCGTCCGGCCCCGGCCGAGCGCGGGTTCGAGGGCCGGCGGCGCCGGGGCTGCCTCCTGCAATCCGTCCTGTCCTCGCGGCGGCTGCCTCCTGCAGATCCTTCGCCGCCGGCGAGCTGCAGTCCAGCCGACTCGGGCGCCCTGGCCCTCGGCGTGTCATTTCCAACACGTAGCGCCGCAGAGCGTGTGTTCAGGGAGTGTTTTCTTCGCCCGTGCAGAAATCGTCCTGTTAACCATAATAGTAGGATCTTGAAAGAGCGACGCCTCGGCCTCTGACCCGACACATGAAAGATAAGATCAGGTTGTGGTTTCTCACTATTAGGATGTCATGCTAGACGGCTTTAAGGCTTTGCAGCCTTTAAAAAAAAATGTTTTCTTTTGCAGTGAAAGAGAAGCACCAGAAGTAAAGAAACTTTTACAGTCATTCTTGATTTGACTGTTAACGCTGATCCCCCAAGGCAAAGTAAAGGTAAATTCACCTGGAAGTTGCTTACTAATTTGGAGGTTTATGTTTAAGTGATGAAGGGGAGGAAACTGTGGCATGTTTTCCCTTTACCTGTTGAAAAACGTTTTAGGACTAGCATAATTTAGATAAGAGATTTGGCTGTTAAAGCTGATCCCCCAAGTCAAAGTAAATTCACCTGGAAGTTGCTTACTAATTTGGAGATTTATGTTTAAGTGATGAAGGGGAGGAAACTGTGGCATGTTTTCCCTTTACCTGTTGAAAAACGTTTTAGGACTAGTGTAATTTAGATAAGTGAGTTGCTTTCGCCCAAAGTTTTCCCTTTGGTCGCTTGAAATCTGGTTTAAAATCACCTTGAGGGAAGAAAACACACTCGGTGCTAAGTAGTTGACCAAACAGGATGCCATTAAACGTGAGTCTGAAGATGACAGATGAAAATTGTGGCGGAACTAGTGACCTGGTATTGACATGGCTCGAACTCCATAATATGTTAAAAAGTGAAGAAAGGGTGTGAATGATGCGCTACTTCATGTTAAGGGCAGAGGGGTGGAAAAAGAATGTAAACTTGTGTGTGCTGGTTTTTATTTAAAGAAACTTGGGGAGGATAAGGAAAACCAATAGCCATGGAGGAGAGAAGTGGTCTGATGATGTGATGGCGGGAAAGGAGATTATACACGGTGTTGATATTTAAATTTTTGTGTGTGACTAGATTATGGATTCAACAAACTACATTAAACAAAATCCTGTTCAAAAATCTGTTACGTGGTTTTGTCTGTCTTCTGTCTCTGTTCCCTAATTTATGATGATTTTGGCTATTTTCACAATGATCTCAAATTTTTTTGAAAAAATAAAGTAAAACTTAGGATAAATTTGTCTGCTTTTTAAGATGCTGAAGTCACAGACAAATTTAATTCTTAATGTTTAGTCGTATTTTGCTTTGCTAAGATTACATCTTTATTTGACATTTTGGATGGGTTATGCGGGTTTGTAGTACAGTTGGTGACCCCTTTTTTTCTTACTGCAGGAGTCATAAGTTGTATAAAATATTGCTATCATGCTTTTCAACCCTCAAGTTGTCATGACAAACAGTTGGGGAATTGGAATGATAGAATTGGTTATCCAGGTAGTTATATTTTCAGATTGGGTAGCTTTTTTCTCTTAAGGAAATTAGACAGGGTCTCCCCTGGTGGTGCAGCAGTTGAGTGCTGGGCTGCCAGGCTGTCCGGCAGCCTCTGCAGTGCCAGTTGGTTCCCCTGCCGCCGGTGAGGGTCCCACCAAAAAAAAAAAAAAGGAAATTACACAGTAATCCCAGTGAAATGTACGTTGTTACATGTATAGATAGAATTTTTCATAAGAACCATGTATTATGTATTTGGTTCTTAGGAAAAATAAGTATTGAGGCAATGTTCTGTTGGTAACAAAAACTAAAAACTTTTTTTTATGAATTATGGATTGCTGTAAACATGGTATTCAGATATTTTCAGCTCTGCCAGACTAACCTTTTAAATGAGGTTAAAATTGAAAAGGGGATATAATTTTGGGGATAGGCTATTCAGACTCCCTCTAGTGGTGACTAATACTGTATAATCAAAGTAGTGAATATTGCAGTTGGTGACATTTATTGGGCCATTTTTTGTTCCATTCTAGGTATTTTTGTATTGTAGGATAGAATAATTGTAGATCTCTGTTTGACCTATTGGTATCTTACTACCATCTTCTGCAAAATGGCATATATTTTTCATTTGAACTCCATGTAGATAGGTTCAATCTTTTGAAAAATGAAATCACATTTCAAAATTTTACTTACCACTTTGTTTTTAAAATTACATAAGTAAATTTGTGAACATAAAATTTAAACAATGCAATGTATATATAGTAAATGAAAATTCCTTCATGTACTTCCACTCCTCACATCCCTCCCAGAGATAACTGCTGTTTACACTGTTGTCTGACCGTTTAGATCTTTTTCTTTCTTTTTTAAAAATTTTATATTAATTTACAGATACTGAATTTTGAATTGTTTTTAACTGATCATCTGCTCTGTCAGTTTGCCTATACTGTTACTATCCACAGGAGGGGGAAATAATCTGGAGAAAGTTAGAAAGCTTAACATGTGGTATACAACTTAGGATAATACTTTGCACTTTGAGGGGCCAGTTAGATTTGGGGGCATTTGTAGAGTTTGCAATGAGATCATACTGGTGGTGAGCTTTGCCTGGTGTAGATTGAATTCAGGGTAAGGACTTGGATTCAGTGGATTTTATAGTCCACATTCTAGGGTTTTCCTTTGGATTTTGACCTTATCAATGACTCACAGGTAAAACTTAGAATTTATTCTCCTGTACCTGCAAACTACTGGAAAGCCCCCTAAATTATCACATCACGTCTCTCTAGGTCCCCTGAAGTGAACCTGGGCAGGCTCTGTCCTTAACTGACTTGGGTGGAATATGACCTTTGAAGGGGAAAGGGGGGAAGGCCCTTTGGTCTGGTTTCTGCTTAACAGACAGCAGACAAGGAGCATTCATCCCATCTGCACCCCTTGCCATCTCCCCACCTGCAGAGAGAACGTTACTTTTCTGATATGCCCAGAAGGTTTTATTTATTTAACCGAAGCTGCAAAGAATTACCAGCCCTTAATTCTTTTTCAGTGATAGTCTGCAGAATGTTCACAGTATTAATCAAGACTCTTTACTAAGCTATGTGAAATAGAGAGAAAGATGCTGTATAATTAACTCTGTCCCTAAGAGGGTTTAAAATCTGGTGTGGTTGAAAGAGAATGTATGTGATGATTATAACACAAGATAGGAAATGACTGTAGAAGAAACAGTAAAGATTTGTAAGAGTGAAACTATTTCCAGCTTTTATTTTTTTGCAGGTATGGGATTTAAAGAGTCAGTATACATATAAATGTTTTAAATAGTTGAAAACAAACTTAGAAAGCTCAAGTCTTAACTCTATCCCACTAGAAAGAGGCATTTGATACTTTATCTAACAATTATAATACATCAGTCTCTTAGATTTCGAGATTGTTAGAAATATTACATTAGGAAATATAATTCTGTTAGTTAACTATTATCTGCCATCTATATGTCAGGCAGTGTTAGTATTAAAAGTAAATTGTTTCTTCCTATCTCATTTCCTTTTCTCAGACTACATATTTAATGTATCCTCTGCCCCATTTTTATTTCTGGTTCTTTGTCAGATATTTATTGCTGTAAATATTTAAACTGTGAAAGCGAACAATCACACTGAAAAATCAAAGCTCACATTACAGCAAAACTACCTATAATAATTTGTGTCTTTTTCCTTTCAGTTCTTTGCAGCTGCATAAAATAAATTTTTAAAGTGTTGTTTCTTATAGGCATTGTACCAATAGACATTATATTTTCTTCTTTCCTGAGTCTCAAATTCTAGATGAAGTACTATGAACTATTTATAGAATATTTTTAAGTGCAAAGCAATATAATTTGTGCTAATTGACTATAATTATTATAATGGCCCTTATATTTATAGGTTGCTTTACAACCATTTGTCAGTCATTTTTATAGCTCTTTTACGTGTAACTTCTATGAATTAGATGGATAAAAGATTCTTGTTTTTCTCCATGTTTCTGATTATGCAAATATTAAATTACCTCGGCTCATCGTAAGTATAGAGTTAACTCTGCATTATTACTTGCTTAAGGTGTGTATTTCACAAAGGTATAATTCTGCTCATTAAGTCTTAGCAATCCACAGAAAAAAATTACTTGTAAAAAATAAATTTTTATGAATTGCTTTTCTCTTTCATAGTATAATATTTAGGATGTGATTTACATTTTAATTCTTAGAAATATTTTCCTTTTTACATTAATAATGTCAAATAATAAGATAAAAATTCCCATTTTTTTCAAAGTTCACATTTAATGTGGTAGCCAAATTTTTAATTCTCACCCAAAAACTTTTTGAATCTGGAAAATGAAAATATAGGTTGATTTGTGTTCAAAGGTTTTACATAAAAAAAAAAAAAATGGGGTTGTACCAGTGAGGGTGAAACCATATACCTAGCTGAGAATTTATCATATGTATTAAAATATGTCTATAATATAGTTTCCTTTCTTTCTTAATTTGTCCTCAGTTATAAAACTATTACATCCCAAATGTAGAAAGCTTGGGCAACAAAGTATAAAATAAATTTAAGTATCGCTGGAAATCCCACCACCCAGAGATGCCATTATTAAGTTTTTGCAGTACCTTCTTGCTGCATTTATTTTGCATTATATTTGCACACTTATAGACACAGTGTTTACACAATGAACTCATAATGCATCCACTGTAGTGCAGACTATTCACTTAATCTTGGACATTTTTATGTCAGTATTTTTCTATGATATTTTAAATAGTTATATAATATCTGTGTTTGTGTAATAATTTATTTACTGGTCTTTCAGGCACTTAAGTTTATAAATTTTTAACTCATTAGTGATACCATCACTTTTAGAAATGACAGTATTAATAATCAGGTAGAATTGATACTTGAAAATAAACTCAGTAGAATATTCTTAAAGAGAATTAAAATTTAGGGGCCTCCCTGGTGGCGCAAGGGGTTAAGCACCGCACTATGAAGCTGTCCACGGCCACTGCACCACAAGTTCAACCCCTGGCCCACCAGGGAGCAACCCACATGGCGCAGCAGACCTCTCCTGACTCGCCCTCTGGTCCTCTCAGCAGTGTATTTCAGTCAGTCTGCCTGTTCTGTTCCTCACTCTGTCTCTGGTGAATCCTCTCACCTCTACATCTCTGGCCTGTACCCCAGCTCTTGTATGCATAAATAAATCTGTTAAAAAAAAAGAATTAAAATTTAGGTAGAATGATACTGAATTTGTATTAATATCCAGATAAAACAAATTGCATGCTTTTCATTGAAAAAATATGCCACGAGACCCATAGAATAAATAATAATGAGGTGAGTCCAAGATTTTTATAATGGTTTATTTTCTTTCTAAGGTATGTTTTACTTTGAATTAT